GAGTGTCACTAGTGCGGAGGTGCGTAATGAGGTCAGCGACAGTGGAAAAGGCAGAGAGGTCAGGAAAGAGGTAGGGAAGCATGAGACGGCTCAGTGCAGCAGTGCAGGGGAGGAGTAGCGCGCAACTACAGCGTCGTACAAGGTCTGAGCACTCTTGTACTGACTAAAGTGCGCACGCTCAGAGGTAGGGAGGTGGCGACGCACAGCAAGACGTGCAGCAGCATCGCGGGTGGCCCACTTAGAGCGGACAGCGGGATCAGCATCAGCAGCAGGAGCAGGAGAGGCGCCAGAGGTGAGGTCAAAGAGAGAAAGGTCATCAGCCCTGTCGCACTGTAAGAACAGCTGCAGGTCGTCTAAGCCAGACCTCAAAATCAACGGCGCGACCCTCAGCGTCAAAAGCTAGGACACTAGGGGTAGCCATGACGACGACTGTGAAGCAGTGCAAGCAGTAGGGGGGAGAGCACGCAAATGACAGTGGGACTGTGCTCACCAGGCAGGGCAGGTCGCGCAGCTCGACAGAAAAGCAGAACGGCGACCGGGCGGCTCGGGTGTACAGCGGATCGGCTCCCGGGCGGCTCGACGGCAGGGCGGCTCGGGTGCAGGGCGGCTCGGCTCCCGGGCGGCTCGGCTGCAGGGCGGCTCGGGTGCAGGGCGGCTTGGCTCCCGGGCGGCTCGGCTGCAGGGCGGCTCGGGTGCAGGGCGGCTCGGCTCCCGGGCGGCTCGGCTGCAGGGCGGCTCGGGTCCCGGGCTGCTCGGCGACAGGCGGCTCGGGGTCTCGTAGAAGTGAGACGGGGCCGAGGGCCGCGTCAGGGCCGGCGGTATGGCCGCGTAGGAGCCGGGGCAGGGCCGCGAAGGAGCCGGGGCAGGGCCGAGTAGGAGGCCGGCGGTGGGGCCGTGTAAAGGGGCCGGCTGCGTAGGAGCCGGCGGCGTGGCCGCGTAAGGAGCCGGCGCGGGGCCGCGTAGGAGCTGGCGGCGTGGCCGCGTAAGGGCCGCGTAAGGGCCGCGTAAGGGGCCGGCGCGGGGCCGCGTAAGGAGCCGGCGGCGTGGCCGCGTAAGGGCCGCGGAAGGGCCGCGTAAGGGGCCGGCGCGGGGCCGCGTAAGGGCCGCGTAGGAGGCGACGCGGGGCCGCGTAAGGGCCGGGGCGAGGCCGCGTAAGGAGCAGGCGGCGGGGCCAGCGTAAGGAGCAGGGCGGGGCCGCGACAGAGTGGGCGCGAGGCCGCAGGGGAGAGGGCGACTCGAGGGGTCGCTAAAAAAAATCGCGCCTCGGGGGCGCGCTTCGGTGGGCCCAAAAAAAATAATTTCGGTCCTGGAGGGACCTAGCTCTATACCATGTGTAAATGAGTAAGCAGGAATGAAAATGACTATGGAAGATTGGGTACAAATACAACCCTAGAAACCCTGTACCCCATATGTGCTACCCCACTAAAGCCTACAGAAACTATGTCATATAAATCTGACACATGTTACCATGGATTTCGTCACGGGGTTACCTTCGAACCCTGGGGGTAACGACGCAATTATGGTCGTCGTTGACAGGTTGACGAAAATGGCTCACTTCGCTGCGTGCAAGAAATCGATCTCAGTCGAGGAAACCGCTCGCCTGTTCATCGCAGCCGTCGTTCGACTGCACGGGATACCAACCGCGATAATCAGTGACCGCGACACGAAGTTCACCAACAACTTTTGGAAGAACCTCGGGGAGCAGTTTGGGACTAGGCTATAGTTCAGCTCGTCGTACCACCCCGAGACTGACGGTCGAATGGAGCGGACGAATCAAACGATGGAACAGTGGATTCGTGCCACGCGCGACGACCCGACAACATGGGAGCAGCAGTTGCCGCTGATCGAATTCGCGTACAACAACGCAACGTCAGCGACGACGCAGCAGTCCCCCTTCTACCTGAACTACGGGCAAAACCCCACAGTGCCCATGACGCCGAGTCCGGACAACCCAACGCCACGTGCACAACAATTCGCTGACATTCTGCAAGCTGCCCGCACCAGAGCCGACGAAGCAATTAAACAAGCCAACGTCATCGCTAAGCGCAACGCTGACCGCCACCGCCGCCCAGTCACGTACTAGTCAGGAGACAACGTACTGCTCGACACCCAGAACTTAAGACTGCCTGTCGCAACGAAACTGCGACCACGCTACTGTGGACCATTCCAAATCAGCCACATGATTACCCCAGTGACAGCCCGCCTACTGTTGCCGACGGACTGGTACATCAGCCCTTCATTCCACATCAGCCTGCTTCGCCCATACATCCCAACCACAAGCCAACTGCCTCGTCATCGCCCGCCATCCATGACTCGCCCTACATCAGAGCCGATCATCTAGCCCGAAAAAATCCTAAGCCATTGGATTCGACACCCCACGGGAATCAGGAGGACTGAATTCCTCGTTCGCTGGAAGGACCCCACGCCAACTGAAGATAGCTGGGTGCCCCTGACAAACATTGAAAACCACCCTGTCAGAATGTGATGTTTGTCTAGCCTGCAGTGGGGTACTCTATAGCGAGTACAACCCGAATTAGGGTTTGCTATATGTACTCAACTGCCTGTTAGTGAAAACCATTCTAACTTTTACCTAGTCTTTCGACATGCTATTAGAGCAGGTCGACCCTCCTTAGTCGATCCTGTGGGTGGTCCCATCCGATGCTTCCGCTGCTGTCCCACCTATCGCACGCCCCGGGCACGCGATGTTTCCTGCCTACCGCCGCGCTCAGGGCGCGCGGGCGCGCGGCGGTTTTCTGCCCCGTCGACCCGTGCGTCGCCCTCCGTTGCCCGACGCGGCCCGCGCGACCTGCGCTTGGCCCGCGCGCGGCCCGTACGGGCTGCGTCACGCCCTGCGCGCAGCCAGTACGGGTTGTGCCAGGCCCGCGCGCGGCCCGTACAGCCCGCGCGCGGCCCGTACGGCCTGCGCCAAGCCCGCGTGCGACCCGTACGGGCTGCGCCAGGCCCGCTCGCGGCCGTACGGGCTGCGCCAGGCCCACGCGCGGCCCGGGTAGCCCGCGCGCGGTTCTTCTAGCCTGCGCCAGGCCCTTGTGCGGCCCGTACAGTCTGCCCCAGTGCCGCACGCCGTCCCCCGAGCTTCTGACCGCTCCCCACCCCCGCTGCTGCCCGCGCTCCTGTGTTAGGGTTGGGGGTGGAGAGTATGGGGGTGCCGGGTGTGTGAGCCGTCCCTGTCAGTAGAGCTACACTGTGAGATCCCCGATCGATCCTAGGGGGGGTTACAGGCGCGTTTGCCTGGGGGGTTATGGGCGCACTGACCCGCTACTGAAACAAGCCCTTTTATCCCAATGGTCTAGTTGTTGGGATTCTGACATGGTATCAGAGCGGTCTCGGGTTCGAATCCCGGTGTATGCACATGTTGGCCGTTGCCACTGTGCTCAGTCATGGGCCTCCCAGTGTGGGGGGGTGTCAGTAGAGCTACACTGTGAGATCCCCGATCGATCCTAGGGGGGGTTACAGGCGCGTTTGCCTGGGTTATGGGCGCACTGACCCGCTACTGAAACAAGCCATTTTATCCCAATGGTCTAGTGGTTGGGATTCTGACAGTCCCCTGCTCCTCCTCCGTCTCGCACTGCTATAGCTGCCGCTGAGGGGGGTGGATGTGTTGGAGCCGTCGGAGTGGTACGAGGGGGATGGCGTGTGAGCGGTGCTAGAGGTTCAACAAGGGGTGTGTAAAAGGGGTGTGGGACAGTTGGGGAGGTTGACCGGAGGTAGCCGTTGTGACGTCACCAGCGCCAGTAGTCCGGGGGTTGCGTACTTCGGTAGCCCAGCGAGCCTGTTGCTGCCAGTCGCCCGTGGGTCTGTTGCTCCTGGTGCTGTTTAGCGCGGAGCCAGTTACTCCTGTAGTCCGGAGGTTGAGTGCTCCGGTAGCCACCGTGCGTGCCGTTCCTATAGCCCGTGTATCTGCGGCTTCACCCGACGCCTCCTATCTCCACTCCTCTCATTGTTCCTCCTCCTCCTCTCTTGCCCTCTGTGACTGCCTCTAGCTTTCCTTGTATTTGTGAATCTACTGCTCTGCCTGCTTGCTGTGCTGATTCTACTCCACTTTGACTATGGGGGTGTGTCAGAATGTGATGTTTGTCTAGCCTGCAGTGGGATACTCTATAGCGAGTATAGCCCGAATTAGGGTTTGCTATATGTACTCAACTGCGTGTTAGTGAAAAACATCTTTCCTGTTTCTAACTTTTGCCTAGTCTTTCGACACACCCTGCCTTGCAAGTGTACCTGAGGAGCCGGGGTTGCCACGATATACACGCACTCGCGTAGCGGAGGGGGCTTCTGGAGGGGGGGGGGGGTAGTGCAAGGAATTTTCTCGATATTCCTTAGCGCGCCCTGCAACATCGCGTACAGCAGCAGCTGTTGTTCGCTCGTTACTGCTAACGGGGCTTCGCCAACTTCACGCGCACTGTTTTCACCAAATCTCGCACTGCTGGCGGCCGCGTCGGCCCAAGCTTCGGGACTAGCCCAAGCCTCGCTGCCAGCATAGCACTAGCTACCGTCATCGCTCGGATATAAGACATATATGTCTTATCTCGTACACGGGCAAAAATGCTTGAGTTATCTTGTAAACGGGATGGTTTAGGGTGTCTTATAATTCTTATAAATGGAAAAAAAAATAAGTTGACTGTGTAACACTTGCAAAGTGTGTAGAAAACACCCAGGGACCAGATTCATTGAAACAGGCCAACCTCGGTGGTGATGCAGCAAAGCTGCCACCGCTGGCAAGATTCCTCTGTGCTGGCAGCATCTAATGATGCTGCCAGCGTCGTTTTGCTGCCAGCAGCGCATGGCAGCTTCCAGAATGCTGCTGGCAGCACGTTGGCAGCGTCAGGCTGTCCTCTACGAGGAGATGCCTCGTAGAGGAGCGGCTCGGCACCTGTGGATGGGGCACTCTGGCTGGGGGGGGTAGTCGGGCTTTCACTTCATTTGGTGCTCATGGAGATTGAATTCTCACCTCAACCTTGCTCTCAGCAGGCTCTCTAACCATGCGCAGCAAGGTACCCCTAGGCAAGTCCTCACCTCGTCCTCACGTGCAGGTGAATAACTACGGGCGAATTAACTCGCCCGCCGATGACATCCGCATAGCCATGGCGAAGAACGCGAGCAAGGCGGGAAGTCCTACCGCCGCCTCCGGTGCGAGCTGTGACGGGGAAGACGGAGACGAAGCACACGGCGACGACGCCGAGGAGGATTGGCCGGAGAACGGCCACGATGACAGCGCTTCGGGCGACGAATTTGGTACTGCCGACATCGAGGAGGACGAATGGTGGAATCAGCCGGTCGGGAGCGGCGACGAGGTGGAAGAGTGGCGGGCTGGTGATTCCGACAACGGCGGAGGTGAAGATGCTGGCGGTGACAACGCGGAGGCACAGGAAGCGGCGGTGGATGCGAATGAGGCTGCCGACGAGGCGGCGGCGGAACTCGAGACAGAGGCGCCTGCGGATGCGGACGCGGTGGCGGAGGCGAACAAGGTGGCTGCGGATGCCGTCTTATTTGAGGGTGAGGGCGACGACGACGACCCGCGGAGCCTTGGGACAGACGACGACGTTCCGCTACTGTGCTGATGTTCGTCTGTCCCTTGTGTGCCTGGCAGGAATCGTGGTCCAAGCACAGGACAACGAGTGGATGGACGAGAGCGCTGTGCAGACCTGGCTGTCCAAGGAGGTGCTTCCCCATCTGTACCCCCAGCGCGGCAAGAGCGCGAGGCGTGCGATGCTGGTGTTAAACTCCTACCGCGGCCACATCACCCAGACCATGCTTCAGTCGTACCGCACGCACAGCATCACCCCTGCAGTCATTCCAGCGGGTTGTACGAGCCAGATTCAACCCCTGGACGTCTCCATCAACCGGTGCTTCAAGGCTGCCGTGCGAGCGCGCTACGCCAGGTGGTTCATGCGTGAAGGGATTCACCTGAAGACGAAGAAGGGTGAGCTGGCTGTTCATTTTAAATTCCTGCTCTGTTTCGTGTCCTTATCGTTAACATCTCGCTGATGTGTCCTCTGTCCCACCAGCAGGGAACCTGCGGAGGCCTCCGCACCCCGTGGTGCTGCAGTGGATCGCGGAGGCTTGGGATCAAGTCCCCAGGCAGATCATCATCGACGCGTTCCGCCACTGTGGGATCTCCAGCAAGCTGGACGGAACGGAGAACCAACTGGTGATGTCTCAGCTGCGCGCCAGGAGCACCACCGATGTCTCCGAGGACATGTCCCTCGGGGGGACCACAGGCGACAACGCGCGCCTGCTTCGGAAGGCTCCAAAGGAGGAGGAGGAGGAGGAGGAGGAGGAGGAGGAGGAGGAGGAGGAGGAGGAGGAGGAGGAGGAGGAGGAGGAGGAGGAGGAGGAGGAGGAGGAGGAGGAGGAGGAGGAGGAGGAGGAGGCGATGCAGGCGGAGGGCGTGCGGGAGGTGGCCGTGGCAACTGGCCTGGAGGTGCTGTACCAAGAGACCCCCAACTACCGCAGAGCGGCAGCCGAGGCTGACCGCATGATCGAGCCAATTGAGACGGCTAGGCATGCCTGGCGAGTGCCAGATCTGAGCGTAGAGCCTGTTGCTAGTGCTGCAGAGGAGGCGGTTACTGAGGGGGGTTAGGTAGAAGTAGTGATTCATGAATGTATGGATGTACCCCCCTAAAGTAGTGTAGGCTCGTTTAGAAGACACCCCCTGTTTATAAGAAAACCCCTAAACCCCGGTTCTGATTATAAGACATATATGTCTTATCTCGTACACACGAATAGGTGTCGTATAAAAAGGCTAGCCTGTTTATAAGAGACACCCGTATAGTAGACAACCCCTGTCTACTATTCAACACTGTCTTATATCCGGGCGATGACAGTAGCTCGCACGCACCGCGCTATTGTTTGCATGTTTCGCGTATAAATGTTCGCTCATGCCTTCGCTCACATTTTGTACTCATTTGACACCTCAGTGCAATCCTCGCTATTTCGATCCATTGCACCCGTAACAATATACAAAATCATATGGTGGTTGTAAAACAGCATCAATTTCAGGGAGACTTGAAAAAATAAAGACAAAAGAAAGTATATTGCACAGGTACCGTAAGTGCCTCCCGTCAAGCACCACAAAGTGACGGAACTAATGATTGTAACGAGCACAGTGATCCAAGTGAGCAGTCAAGTCAGCAGCAGACGTGGCAAGATAACCATGACATACAGGACAATGCAAAGGAGCAACTCCAACCCCCCCACCACCACTCCCATCAAAACCTCCATCCTCCTCCCCAACACCATGCACATGCATACCATATCCACCCATCATCATCCCACCTGGCGCCATCCCAACAGTCACACCATGTACACCCGTTTCCCCCATACCTGCCCACACCCCTCCCGCTACCCCCGCTACAACTGCAGTACCACCTACCATACCATCACTCACACAGGACCACATACCTGAACCAGCATGCCCTCCCATACCTGCCCAAGGGGCTGCCGAACCTGCATACCCCTCCGGGGAACTCCAGCCAGCTGAAGCGGCAGCTTCCGGACCAAGCACGACAGCCCCGGGCCAGGCTTCCGGACCAGCCGAACCTCCAGGATGGGAAGGAACACTGGACCACATCTCAGGCACGGCATGGGCTCCAAAAGTAGCCCCGGTGTAATGGACAGAAGCAGCTGCAGCAGCAGAGGGGGCAGGCGCAGCAGCAGCGGCAACAGAAGGAACAGCAGCGGCAGCTGTAGCAGTGACAGGTGTTACTCCCATCTGCCAAGGTGGAAGAGCAACTGGCAGCCCTGACTGCACTGAGTGTGCTGAGTGTGGGGCAGGAGGGGACCCAACCATGCCATGCCATACAGCAGGAGGAGGAGAGGTCACCATGCCATGCCATGCGGCATGAGACCAAGCCATGCCACCTGCATGACCACCCATGCCTTGCATCCTGCTGCCACCTGCCATGGCTACTTCCGAGCCTGTTGTCCTGTTAGACTCGTATGCTGCCATGCCAGCCACCATACCTGCTGCCATGCCTGCTGCCATGCCTGCCGCCGTACCTGCTGCCATGCCAGCTGGCATAATGTCCGTTCCGCTTTCATACCCCCCACGTCCGTACCCACTGCTGCTGCTCATTCCTGCTCCTGCTGGCACACCTGATACTCTCAGCCCTGCACTCTGCTGCCGCTCCCACTCCTCCATCCCACCAGAAACCTCTCCTGCTGCACTCTGTGGTCCCTGCCATTCCTCTGCCCCTGCTCTCAAAGATGTGCCAGCTGGACTCGTCCCGTCCTGCTTGGAGATTGAGGGAACCATTGCTGTGGCTGCTGCTGGTGCTGCCGGTGCTGGTGCGACTGCTGCTGTTGCCGCTGCTGCTGTTGCTGTTGCTGTTGCTGCTGGTGCTGGTGCTGCCGGTGCTCCTGCCTTTTCAGCAGGTGTGTTGGGAGCACTGCTTGAAGCAATCACTGCACGGTTTGCTGCGGGAGAAGCATTGGCAGCAGCAGCAGCAGCAGCAGCAGCAGCACTGGCAAAAGTGACAGCAGTAGCAGAAGGAGCAGCGGGGAAGGGAGCAAATGAGCGTGTGTGGGGAGGCGGTGGAGAGATGAAGGCAGAGGAAGGAGTGAAAGGAGCGGAATGGAGAGAGAGCTTGGAGGGTGTAAATGCAGGGGAGGCGGAACGGAGAGGGGCAGATGGCACAGTGGTGTGTGAGGAGGAGAGTGTGGAGTGAGAGGAGGAGAGAGAGTAGTGTGAGGAATGGGACGAGGGAAGTGAGGGATGGTTGAAGGGCAGAGAGGAGGCAGAGGAGGAAGGAACAAAGGTGGGAGCAGTAGGGGAGATGAAGCGAGGGGGTATGACAGCCTTGGGGCGAAACGGGACTGCTCCAGCTGCTTTGGCGAGTGAGCTCTTAGAGAGGATAAACGAGGCTGGGTTGCTGCCGCTACTGCTGCTGCTGCTGTTGCTAATGCTTCTGCTGCTGATGCTCCTGCTGCTGCCAGTGATGTTATCATGATGGCTACGGTTATGCCTTGCAATGCTCACTCTGGCACTGCTGCTGCTGCTGTTGTTGCTGTTGCTGCTGCTGTTGCTGCTGATGTTGATGCTACGGTTGGTGATATCCCTGCCGCTGCTGTAGCTATAGCTGCCTGTGCTTCCCCGTGGGCCGTTTCTTGAAAAGGCTGTGCTGCTGTGTGTGCTGCTAAGATCAGAATTTTCACCTGCTCGCACCATCCCACCAGTTGGCTTTTGAAATGCCTCAGCATTAGCTGCTGCTGCAGCACCATAGACCACGTGAGACGTCAACCCCTCGTAATACATGGCTGGTTGCGTTTGCTCCGTTTGCTCCTCCCCCCCTTCCTCCTCTCCTCCCTCCTCCCCTCCCCACTGGCTCCTATAGTACACCATACCATCGTTAGAACCAATCTTTTGAGTCGACTCAAAAGTCAACTCGTTAGAACCAATCTCCAGGCCGTTTACCATTCTTGAGTCACCCGCACCCCCTGCATCCCCTGCCATGCCCCCTCCATCCCCAAACAGCCCAACCATGCCCCCTGCTCCCACTCCTTCTGCTCCCAATCCTCCTGCTCCCATTCCTCCTGCTCCCACTCCTCCTGCTCCCACTCCTCCTGCTCCCATTCCTTCTATACCTCCCACTCCTCCTGCTCCCATTCCTCCTATACCTCCCACGCCCCCTGCATCCCCTGCCGTGCTCTCACCACCCCCAAACAGCCGCCTTACAGGCCCCTGGCGGATGGCAATCGGTGGTGGGGAGTCGAGGGTTGATGGGAGAAACACACCTCCCCCCAAATCATCCCCCAAATCATCCCCCAACTCATGCCCCAACTCATGCCCCACGTCATGCCCTACGTCATGCCCCACGTCAGGCCCTACGTCATGCCCTACGTCATGCCCTACGTCATGCCCTACGTCATGCCCTACGTCATGCCCCACGTCATGCCCCGAGGCTAGACCTTGCCCAGAGACAGATAAGGGAGCAAAGGCAGACGAACTGGTAGAAACAACAGAGATAGAGGAGGGGACGAAGGCAGAGGCAGTGGCAGCAGAGGAGGAGAGGGAGGAGGCAGGTGCAGCAGCAGGAGAAGCGGTGGGAGGGGCCTTGAAAGCTGTAGCAAGGGAGCCAGAACACATAGCATCTGTAGCATGGGAATCAGCAACTCTGGCAGCTGTGGCAACCACAGGCAATGAGGAGGGGACGAAGGCAGAGGCAGTGGCAGCAGAGGAGGAGAGGGAGGAGGCAGGTGCAGCAGCAGGAGAAGCGGTGGGAGGGGCCTTGAAAGCTGTAGCAAGGGAGCCAGAACACATAGCAGCTGTAGCATGGGAATCAGCAACCCTGGCAGCTGTGGCAACCACAGGCAATGAGGAGGGGACGAAGGCAGCGGCAGTGGCAGCAGAGGTGGAGAGGGAGGCGGCAGGGGCAGCAGCAGGGGAAGCAGAAACTCCAGCAGATGTGGCAGGTGAATCGGAGATTGTAGGAGGTGTAACAAGGGAATCGGAATTCTTAGCAGCTGTAGAAAGGAAAGAGGAAACCCTAGAGGCTGTAGCACGGGAAGCAGAAACCATTCTTGCTGTCGCGCGGGAATTGGTAAATATAGCAGCTGTAGCAGCAGTAGCAGCTGTAGCAGCAGTAGCAGCTGTAGCCGCTACAGCAGCACCAGCAGGCTTAAAGTCAGGAGCATTGAGCTTGGGTTTGAATTCCGGGGCTGATATTGCACTGGCTAGGGACGCCGAAGCAGCGAGGGAGGTTCGGAGAGAGTAGGTTGGAGATGGAGAGGTTCGAGATGGGGATGTGGCACGTTGAGGAAGCTTCCAGGAGGCTGCAGCAGTGAAAGAAGCAGCATCAGCAGGAGGAGCAGAGGGGGGAGGTGAGGTGAAGGAAGAAGCAGAGGTGGAGGGGGATTTGAAGAGAGAGGAGGGGGGAAGGGGAGAGGAAGAGCGAGCAGGAGAAGGGGAGGAGGAGCGGATTGGAATGTGGGGAGAAGGGGACAGCGATCGACCAATAGCGCCCGGGGTAGCATAAGAAGCTATAGCGGGAGTGACTGTAGAGAGGGATGCTGATGCTGGCGTGGCGGGCAGTGACGGGATGAACTCGCCAGCTGTCGCCGAGAGAGTGGTGGCACGAATCGCTGCAGATGTGGAGCTTGCTGACGTGGCAGACGGGCCTCCGGGAGGGAGTGAGGAGGATGAGAGGGAGGAGGTGATATGGTGGGATTTGGAGGAGGGGAGTGTGGCAATGGAGAGGGAGGAGGAGGAGGAGGAGGAGAAGGAGGAGGAGGAGGAGGAGGAGGAGGAGGAGGAGGAGGAGGAGGAGGAGGAGGAGGAGGAGGAGGAGGAGGAGGAGGAGGAGGAGGAGGAGTGGGAGGAGGGACGGCCAGGGAGCGAGATGGAAGTGGGAAGAGAAGGGCGAAGGGAATGGAAGGAAGGGAGAAAGGAGGGGGACTGAGACGATCGTGGAGGAGGGGAGTTGGGAAGGCTATGTGTCACCTTAGAAACATGACTCTCCCTGCCGCTGCCTAGACTGCTGCCGCTCGCACTGCTGTTGAAACTGTTGCTCTTAATGCCACTCCTGGTGTCACTGCTGCTGCTGCTGCTGCTGTTGCTGTTGCTGTTGCTGTTGTTGGCAGTGCTGCTGATCGTGCTGGGTTTGCTATCAGCGTTATTCAAGGCAGCATTAGTCAGCTTATTCTCTGGCCCGTCAGGAGCACCGGGCTCTGTCACTGCTGCTGGTCATCATCATGTCAATCAAGGTTACAAAAAAAGGGGGGGAGATGGAGAGACTTTTGAGTCGACTCGAAAAGGGGGGAGATGGAGAGACTTTTGAGTCGACTCGAAAAGGGGGGAGATGGAGAGAGAGAGAGAGTGGGGGGGACAGGGTGGGGAGGATGCGGGGAGAGAGACAGACAGAAAAGAGAGCACACTCGGTGCAGCAGACTATGTGGAGCATTATAATGAGGATGAAAGTGCACTCTCCTTGTGAGTGCGTCTCAGGGAGTGGTAGGAGGGAGATGGAGAGAGGGGGAAGGAGAGAAGGAGAGGGAGATGATGGGAGGAGGGGACATACTGGGGGAAACTGCATTGGCAGCAAGCAACCATGACATAGACTCACCTGCTAGTGCCGCCGCCACAGGTGCTTCAGTGTTACCAGCAGAGCTAGCACTTGCTGCTGGTGGTTTCTCCTCTGAGACGCCTTAGAGAGACTGGGAAGGAGGGGCTACACGAAGCAGCAACCATGGGATGGGACTCACCGTCTAGTGCCGCCGCCACAGGTGCTTCAGTGTTACCAGCAGAGCTAGCACTTGCTGCTGGTTGCTCCTCTGCACTGCCTTCTCTAAATAACACCTCCCCTCCACCTTCCTCAGAGAGCTCCTCCCCTCCACCTTTCTGAGATAGCAGCTTCTTTCCACCTCTCCCAAACAACACCTCCCCTCCACCTTCCTTAGATAATACCTCCCCTCCACGTCCCACTGGACCCAGCCACAGCTTCTGAGATGCGGGCTCGATACTTGCTGCAGCAAATTGAGGAGGGGAGGTAAGAGGGCTCCAGATGGAAGGAGAGGAGGGGAGGAGCGGAAGAGCAGAGGCAGAGAAAGCACGGGCAACATGTGTGTGCTGGTGCTGGTGGTGCCACTTCGTAAGGTGGCTGCTCAGTCCAGAAGGAGGGGCAGAAGCAGAAGCAGCGACAGCAGCAGGGGCTGCACCAGTGGTTGCAGCAGTGGCAGCAGCAGTGGCAGCAGCAGTGGCAGAAGCGGGGGCAAAGGAGGGAGGTTGGGTGGAAAGCAGAGAGGAGAAGGAGGCAGCATGGGGCACTGGGGCATCTCCGGCTATCCACGCCCACACTGCCTCGTGGTCATTCTCATGCAGCTCATATATACCACCCTTATTTCCAGCACTAGCAGCACCACCATCGCCACCACCAGGGCCAGCACCAGCGCCAGCACCATCACCGCCACTAGAACCACCACCACTAGCACCACCAGTATCACCACCACCACCACTAGCACCACCAGTATCACCACCACTAGCCCCAGAAGGTACAGAAGCAGCAACAGCAGCCGCAGCAGTAGGGTCACCCGAGCTACCACCACCACCGCCTTTGCTGGTATTGCTACTCCCCTCATCAGCAGCAGCACTAGCACCACCACAATCACCACCACTACCAGCACCGCCTTTGCTGGTACTGCTGCACCCCTCACCAGCAGCAGCACTAGCACCACCACAATTAGCACCAGCACCAGCACCAGCACCAGCACCAGCACCAGCATTCCTACAGACCTCAGAATCCCTGCAAACCCCAGCATTTCCACACGCCCCTGTATTTCCAGCAGCAGCACAGCCCGAGGCAGCAAAGAGGGAGGAGAATCTACTCTGAGTGCGCCTGGCAGCAGCCACAATCTCCCCCGCTCGCTTCATCTCATCTTCTGTCCACCCCACTCCCACCCCTGCCACCACCCCCGCCGCTGCCACCGCCGCTGCCGCTGCTGCTGCCGCTGCTTGCTGCTGCTGCAGCAGATGCAGTGAAGCCCCTGCGTTTTCCTGTGGCTGATCTAATGTGCCTGTCTGCTGCTGTGGGCCGGTCTGCAATTCCGACCCTGCACCTGTGTGTGTCTCTGACTGTGCACGTGTGCTGCCCGCCCTTTGAAGCGTGGCACTCTCTTCACTGCAGCCTTTGGTCCTGCTGCTGCTGCTGCTGGTGCTGCTGCTGCTGCTGCTGCTGCTGCTGCTGCTGGTGCTGGTGCTGCTGCTGCTGCTGCTGCTGCTGCTGCTGCTGCTGCTGCTGCTGCTGCAAGTATTAATGTCATTGGAAGCGGTGCTGCTGCTTGAAGCTGTGGTGGTGATGTTCGCAGTACTAGTAGCGTCTGAATGGTTCATAACACACATAGATGAAAGTGGGATGAAAGCTGGGGGAGCGGTGGAGGTGGAGGAGGAGGAGTTTTGAGGCGCCTCAAAATTGAAAGCTGGGGGAGAGGTGGAGGTGGAGGAGGAGGAGGAGGAGGAGGAGGAGGAGGAGGAGGAGGAGGAGGAGGAGGAGGAGGAGGAGGATGAGGAGGAGGAGGAGGAGGAGGAGGAGGAGGAGGAGGAGGAGGAGGAGGAGGAGGAGGAGGAGGAGGAGGAGGAGGAGGAGGAGGAGGAGGAGGAGGAGGAGGAGGAGGAAGAGGAGGAAGAAGCAGTGTCATCAGCAGCCGCAGCATTTGCAGCAGTTCCAGCTGTCTCAGAAGCCCCAGCAGCAGGCACAACAGCACCAGTAGCTGCTGCAGGAGAGCCTGAACCAGGCACACGCATTGCAGCAGCCCCAACCGTCCCAGCAGTCCCAGCAGCAGCTGCAGCACTGGCAGCACTTGCAGCAGTCCCAGCAGCAGCCACAACAGCTCCAGAAGCAGCTGCAGCAGTGTCTGAACCCGACAAGCTTGCCGTGGCAGCCCCAACCGTCCCAGCAGTCCCAGCAGTCCCAGCAGCAGCCACAATAGCTCCCAGGCCTACCCCAACTATCTCTGCACCGGCAACCAGGGCATTACTGCTACCTGCCACGCTAACACCAGCAGCAGAACGCACCAAACCACCACCAACCACACCAGCAGCAGCAGCAGAACCCACCAAACCACCACCGGCCATACCAGCAGCAGAGCTCATCAGCCCAGCAGCTCCCCTCCTTGCAGCAGACCCCATAAGAGGCATCGCCCCTGGCCCTAACGCACCAACAGACCCTGCCAGTATCCCACCGTTGATACTCCCACCACTAACACCACTACCACCGCCAGCCCCACTCACAACCCCTCCGCGCCCTACCAGTCCCACTCCTCCCAGCCCCACTCCACCTCCCAGTACCACTCCGCTTCCCAGTCCCACTCCTCCCAACCCCACTCCACCTCCCAGCAGCGGCCAAGGAGCGGCCAGCACGCCATCTCCTGTCACTCTGATGCGGGCGGGCAGGGAGGCCACCAGAATCGCCCCTCGCAGCCCTGGCTGCAGCATCACAGGGCCCACCTGTGCGAAACTCGCCCCTCCCTGTGCGAAATTCGCCCCTCCCTGTGCGAAATTCGCCCCTCCCTGCGCGAAATTCACCCCTCCCTGCCCTTGCGCCTGCCCCTGTGCTCCCTGTCCCTGCCCGTGCCCTCCCTGCCCCTGCTCCTGCGTTTGTCCCTGCCCCTGCGCCAGCACCTGACCATGCACCTGACCGTTCACCTGACCTGGGCGCCTGGTTTGCCCCGCGGCTACAGATGCTAGAGCCCGCTCCACAGCAGCGGTTGTAGCGGCGGGGACTGTAGCAGTAAGCACTCCGGCTGGTGGTGGGTGAACGTGGTTACTGGCTGAGGGTGTGAGGGAATAGGTCGAGGAGGTAGTAGAGGAGGAGGAAGGAGAAGAGGAAGAGATAGAAGAGGCTGTAGCAGGAGAAGAGGCAGCTGAATGGGCTGTAGCCGTACTCATTGAGGTTCCAGGATTGATTGGAATAGAAGAGGCTGATGCAGTTGAAGGTGTTAGGGAGGAAATAGAGGAAGAGGAGGAGGAGGAATAGGAGGAGGAGGAGGAGGAGGAGGAGGAGGAGGAGGAGGAGGAGGAGGAGGAGGAGGAGGAGGAGGAGGAGGAGGAGGAGGAGGATGAGGAGGAGGAGGAGGAGGAGGAGGAGGAGGAGGAGGAGGAGGAGGAGGAGGAGGAGGAGGAGGAGGAAGAAGAAGAAGAAGAAGGGAGCGGATGGTGCAGTGGGGAGTTGAGAGGTGCGTGAGGGCCCAACAGGGATGACGTGGATCCCAGCAGGGATGATGTGGATCCTAATAAGGATGACGTGGACACCCAGGAGAGGGGTGAGTGGTTGAGATACGATGGTCTTTCCCACACGGTCTTATGCGATGCTGCAGTGCACATGCACACAGAGAGAAGGGATGGGCGGGGGGGAATACATGGAGAGAGCGAGAGAGGGGGGAGGGAAGGGGGAAGGAGGAGAGGAAGGGTGGGTTGGACGGTATTTGCACAACAGCAAGCTGTATGATGTGATGTGAAACTTGACTCGAGTTAAACTGCAAGCTCAGAGAAAACAGCCACCGTAAAGACTGTAGGTGTTGAGACGCGTGGAAAAGCAGCTGAAGCGACTTCAGGATGCCAGGATATGAACATCAGAAACGAACTTTGAGAAGGATGTGCAGAAGAAGGGGGGAGGGGAAACTGTGGTGGAGGGGGCGCAGAGGAGGGTTGCGCGGAAAGAGAGAGAGCGGGTGGGATGCAGAGCGGTTGAGATGCATACGGGTGAGTGGAGAGGAGGGCGAGAGCTGCATGAGAGGTGAACAGGAGTTAACTTTGGAGTCGACTCAAAAGTCAACGAGAGTGGGATGCATACATACCAGTGAGTGGAGAGGAGGGAGAGAGCTGCATGAGAGGCGAAGACGCCATGGCTGAAATCGGTGGGTTGAACCCCCTCATTCCTCCCATCATCCCACCAAAACCACTGCCAATACCAGCGAAACCAGCACCAGCAGCCCCAACAGCAACCCCTCCCCCAGTCCCCACCCCAGCACCACCAACAGCAGCAGCAGCAGCAGCAGCAATGCCGTTAGTAGAGCCAGCGAGGATATCAGCCCGGCCAGTCCCACCACTTCCGGTAAGCTTGCCGGGACCAACGGACGTTCGCACTACCACCACCCCTCCTCCTCCTCCCCAGCTGCCTCCGCCCCCATACCCCACAACTACACTCCCCCCTCCTCCTCCTCGACCCCTCTCTCCCGCTTTCCCGCTGCTCTCCAGCCCGCCGCTGCCACCTGTCACTCGCCCATTGGCTGCACCCTTCACTTTCTTTCCAGTTGCCGCTCTGGCTGTTGCGGCTGGCTTATCAGCAGCGGACGGGGAGGGAGGTTGGGGGACGCCGTAGGGGGTTCGGCAGCTGGGGCAGAGGCTGTTGAGTTCGAGCTTGATACGCTCGTAGCAGAAGAGACACACGCGGTACCTGACGGCCAGGAGAAGAGGGTGAGGCAGTGGGGAAGGGAAACGGGAGCATGGGAAGTTAGAGTTAGCGAGGATGTTTTTTTGCCCGTAGAACAAGAAAAATGAAGGAAGCAAGTGAAGGAATGGACTTTTGATAAATGAAAAAAAGGGAAACAAGGCAACTACTGCGACTGTGAAATGCCCCAGAGTTGACCAGACGAGGGGTGTACCTATCATCAGTCTTCGCTTCACCCCATAGACTCGTAACGAAGAAGAAGAAATATAAGCAGGTTTGGATTGTGATGTGACCCAACCCGCACTTACCAGTGAAGCCGGAGTGTAACCAGTGTGAGTCATTGAGACAAAGACACGGCTGCACGGGCCAGGGCTCTGTGGCCGTGCAATGTCAGCAGCCAGACTCAAAATCCCCGCCAAGAACTACCTCACGCAGCTCACTTCGCGCTCCTCATTCGCTCTGTAATACATATAAAAATCTTTGCAATGTAGCGAAAGCGCTGACGGAGATTTACCCGCAAGGGCAGGGTCGAAATCGGACTTCAGTTTCGTCGAGATGCTCGATGCAGAGCGGACAAACGGGATCCTCCTCCTCCTCTTCCGCCTCTTCCGCCTCCCCCTCATCCTGCACGCCCTTGTCCGCTTCCAATATTTCCTTCCAGTTCTCCCTCTCATGCTTTCCGTCTCTGTGAATCCAGTCGCGATCAACGCCGGACCATTCTACGCCGTACGATGATGATATCCGGGACATAGACGCTCCGGGTTTCGCGGCGGCTGGTACGGTGACCCGTTTAGGGCCGAAGACTTTGGACATGGTCTAGAGTGTGCATGAATAGGATACTAACGAGCAGCCAATCTCTAGTCGACTCAAAAGCCGGGAAATTTGGACATGGTCTTGAGCGTGCACGGACAGGGTTGGAAGCGGTTGAGTCGGGTGTCAGCCTGGGGATAAGAAAGACGGAACAGTCATTGTATTATCAGGCAATTATAATGAAAATCAGGAACCTGCGGTGGTCAGAAGGGTGTTATTGCTGAACTCTCTTAGCGAACTTGAAAACTCATGGACAGGTAGGAGGTAGTGGAAAAGCGTTCAGCTAGTAAGGGGTTGCGAAGTGAATAAAGTCTTGAGACATGGAATGTGGATGAAGCAGAGAAGGGTTACAGGCCAAGGACGAATAAGAGCTCGTGGTTGTGGAATGGCGGAACCTGAGGATGCTAGTAACGCGGAAAAGTGACAAGTTTTGCGTGAAGAACGGAGAGTGCTCTTTATTCTATTCCACGTCGTCAGGCTGGCGGACCTTCCATATAGAAAGCTAGTACCTTAAATACACGCCACGAAAGCCGCGAGATTAAGGTATAAAATGCACGTGGTAAAGCCCCAGCCAAGAATGTAACCAATGGGGTGACGACAGGCCAACCCGCTGCGAGGACATGAGGCCCCTGTGATTGGCGTCCCAGAGAGAGCGTTGGACCCTCGATGCCTCTGATTGGTAGTCAGGACACAAATGGAGTGTGCATAATACTAACGGAAGGTGAACTGCAGTGGTAAAGATGAAATTTAGTGTTGTGGATTGAGCAAGACAGACACTTTCTCCCTTTCCCACCTTAGCAGTATTTTTTCGTTTAGTAGTGCGGTTGAGTACTCTGATGTGCATTTAAGCGCGGTTTATATGCTTTGACCCGCACTAGTCAGGAGTGTGAACAAGGGGATACATGAACTGTAAATGCACACTCTGTGGCCCCACTCTTATCATATGTTCCGCGTGTTAGTCCGTTGATGGTACGTTGCGGTTCCGCGCGTTAGGGCACGGTAAAACGCGGTTTTGACAAGTTACTGCTTTGGACCGTATAGCACCGAACAAAACCGTTTACTATGCATTTAGATTGAATAGGCGGGATAGCTCCTAGCACACCGTCCCGCCAGCAACCGCGCGACGCCCTGCGAAAACCAATCTCAAGGTTGCGTGATGGAAATTGTCCGCCCATCAAATCCAGCGGAGGTTCAACCAATCAGCTCGCAGTCTGCTCCGCCCTCGTGTATTTGGCGGCATTATCAAAAGTTCCTCGGACACCCTCAAGCTTGGAGATTTGGGAGGAGGAACGAGTGATGGAGAACAGTGCGGACTCATGGTTCGGGCAGGCCTTGTTTCGCTGGCTCTTACGATTGGCAGACGACGACACTGATGAAATCGCTGATACCGCAGGCGAAAAACTATGTGAAGTTGTATCATGCACTGATTGGCCGCGATCGGACGCGTCACCATCAATGGATGAGCCAGCGCAAGTTCAGAAGCCAATCAGGTGTAGTACGAACCAGAAGGAATGCGCAGCGCACCAAATCATCGGAAGAGGGTTTTGAAGGGTGGTGCACAGTACAGTAAAAGTACTTTAATTAATGCATATACATCCCCCTAGTTCCAGGCTTGCTTGGTCTGATCTCCCATCCAATAGAGCACAGCCATAGAAAAACTGCAGCATAACACTTCTTACATACGGCGCACAATTCGTCACGTGCATTTATACCGCAATTGGGATTTACATTAGAACCAACAACCCTCGACACCCATGCCACTACCTACTAACACCTTAGAATTCTTTACAGAACTAATAAGCTCACACTACACCCCTCCATGTACACCATCCTCTAGTCATCTCCCCCACTCCCTCACTCCCTAACTCCTTCACACTGCACACATCCGGCCCGCTGCAGAACATATCCACCACCCCTCCAGTATCCACTCATCATCTCCCCCACTCCCTCACTCCCTCACACTCCCTCCCTCACACCTCACACATCCGGTCCACTGCCAAACATGTCCACCATCCCTCGGAACACCTGGGCTGACAGCTCACTCGCCTCCACCAGTTCACCATCCACATTCCAAAAGCCCTGCTCCCCCATGGCCTTGAATGTGAACGCTGGGGTCTGGGGGTGGGGGAGGGGAAGAGATAAGGTGGGAGAGGGGTAAGGAGTTGGGGGAAGGGAGGGAACACCTGGACCAACAGCTCACTCGCCTCCACCAGTTGGTCATCCACATTCGAAAAGCGCTGTGCCCCCATGGCCTTGAATGTGAACGCTGGGGTGTGTAGGAGTGGGGAGAGAGGGAGTATGGGAGGGGAAAGTGGGGATGATGGAGGAGAGAGAGTGGAAGGGAAACAATCGACATGGTATGAGATGATTTGAGATGGCGTGCAGCTTTGTGCACTGCAAAACATCCGTCTGTGAGGATAGGTACGATGCAAAATGGTGTGGGACGGTGAAACGGTGCAAAGCAGTGGAGCAAGCGAGTGAAAACTAAACACACCTTGTGGTGTTGGACAACGTGGAAGTCGAGGGGATCTGCGCCCTTGATGGTCAGACACAGCAGCAGCTGAGAAGCGGTGTAAGTCAGTGCGTAACGGTGTGAGGAGACGCGATCTGGTGTGAGTGGGTATGAGGCGGTGTGAAGCGGTGCTGTGAGTGAGAATCAGACCCACCTTGTGGTGCTGGACGAAGTGGAAGTCGAGGGGATCAGCTCCCTTGATGGCCAGACACAGCAGCTGCCTGCGAGTGGGTGGATAGATGGACGGACAGATTAATACATGGTCTGTATTGAGACCTTATAACACATGGATACGATGTATTGAGACCTTATAACACATGGATACGATGTATTGAGACCTTATAACACATGGATACAATGTATTGAGACCTTATAACACATGGATACGATGTATTGAGACCTTATAACACATGGATACGATGTATTGAGACCTTATAACACATGGATACGATGTATTGAGTGAGACCTTATAACACATGGATACGATGTATTGAGACCTTATAACACATGGATACGCAGATGGATACGATGTATTGAGACCTTATAACACATGGATACGCAGATGGATACGCAGATGGATACGCAGATGGATACGCAGATGGATACGCAGATGGATACGCAGATGGATACGCAGATGGATACGATGTATTGAGACCTTATAACACATGGATACGCAGTTTGAAATATTCTAAGAATGGATCTGCACCCTTGACAGCCAGACACAGTGCAAGACATCTATACTATATCACAAATACACTCAACAAATGAGCGAAAAGTATTGGAAGGAAGAAAAACACTCACTGGAGGTGTCCTGCGCGCGAGCACTCGCGGATCATGAAGATGTTCAAACACAAACACCTACCACTCATTGACAAGACAGAACCAGTGTCACGCTGGAGGTACTCGAAATTCCGTTACTCACTGGAGGTATTCTGCGTGCGAGCACTCGCGGATCATGATGAGGTTCAGATTCTCATCCGCCAGGCGGGCGTGTGCAGGGATTGCTGCAGCGAACGTCAGTACTGGTGACTAGTGGAGGTAAAAGCTACTCACTGGAGGTATTCGGCACGTGAGCACTCGCGGATCATGATGAGGTTGAGATTCCCATCCGCCAGGTGGGCGTGTGCCGCGACGCCATCTGGCGCCTTGTCATTGCGGCAAGAGATCACCGCGCCGCCCACGCTGTGAAACCGGCCTCTCACGGTGCGCCAGCCTGGCGTCGCCTCGTCCCAGGTCAGCGGCTGTGGCGAATCCGCCGCTGCCACGTCAGCATCAGCAGCTTCTAGGGGAGGAGGTGAGAAGAGCCTGTGCTTATCGGCTTCTGTGGCTGTAGCAGCAGCAGCATCAGGAGCGGCGGGAGGAGGGTGATAGGAAGGCGAAACAGCAGCGGCATCAGGAGCAGCATCCACAGCAGCAGAATCACCAGTAGTGCGGTTGAGAGGGGTGAGAAGGGAGGCCAGACCCACAGCTGACTGCGATGGGCCTCTGGCCTCGAATCCCAGGGCAGATCGCGCCAGCAGCGAGAGATCCTGGCTGTTGGCGCATACCGAGCATCCAGCGGTGCAGATTTCTGCACGGGTCGTGGGGCTGAAGGAAAGGGGCAGGACGCAAAGTAAATGATGGGGATCGGTGAAGGGAGGATGCAGGAAAGGAAAATGAGAAGGTTTGTGATTACCAACGACCTGGATGGCTTTGGTGGTTGAGATTGAAGACGTCTTTAAACTGAAAGGCGTCAAGTGATTAACTGGTATTTGAGGCGAGGGAGGAGAGGAGCAGGAAGGGATAAGGAAGAGCGAAACGGGGAAAGGTAAGGCAGCAAAGGCAGGGCGTGAAAGGCAGTGGCATAAAGGGGTGGGAAGGCAGTGTGATGGGTGGGTTACCTTTTTCTGTGCATGGACGGTAGGTCTGGCTCAGGCACGTGGAAGAATGACACCTCTGCTTCGTACGACCTGAATCAGGGACAAAGGAGGGGAGAAGGAGAGGAAAGGAGGGATTGGTGGTGGCAGGGAGGAGGGTTTGCAGGTTGGTCTGGCTCAGGCACGTGGCAGAATGACACCTCTGCTTCGTATGACCTGGTTGGGGGGGAGGGAAAAGAGGCAGGACAACAGGGGCAGGAGAATAAAAGGATGGGCAGGAAGAGAGTTGAGTTACCCTCTTGTGTGCATGGAGAGTCGGTCTGGCTCAGGCACGTGGGCGAATGACACCTCTGCTTCGTATGACCTGGTTGGGGGGAGGACAGGGGAGAGGGAGAGCATATGAGTGGCATATGAGGAGCATATAAGGGGGATATGAGGGGGGGAATGACAGGCATATGAACGGCATATGAAGGGCATATGAAGGGCATATGAAGGGCATATGAAGGGCATATGAAGGGCATATGAAGGGCATATGAAGGGCATATGAAGAGCATATGAAGGGCATATGAAGGGCATATGAAGGGCATATGAAGGGCATATGAAGGGCATATGAAGAGCATATGAAGGGCATATGAAGGGCATATGAAGGGCATATGAAGGCATATGAAGGGCATATGAAGGGCATATGAAGGGCATATGAAGGGCATATGAAGGGCATATGAAGGGCATATGAAGGGCATATGAAGGGCATATGAAGGGCATATGAAGGGCATATGAAGGGCATATGAAGGGCATATGAAGGGCATATGAAGGGCATATGAAGGGCATATGAAGGGCATATGAAGGGCATATGAAGGGCATATGAAGGGCATATGAAGGGCATATGAAGGGCATATGAAGGGCATATGAAGGGCATATGAAGGGCATATGAAGGGCATATGAAGGGCATATGAAGGGCATATGAAGGGCATATGAAGGGCATATGAAGGGCATATGAAGGGCATATGAAGGCTATGAAGGGCATATGAAGGGCATATGAAGGGCATATGAAGGGCATATGAAGGGCATATGAAGGGCATATGAAGGGCATATGAAGGGCATATGAAGGGCATATGAAGGGCATATGAAGGCATATGAAGGGCATATGAAGGGCATATGAAGGGCATATGAAGGGCATATGAAGGGCATATGAAGGGCATATGAAGGGCATATGAAGGGAAGGGCATATGAAGGCATATGAAGGGCATATGAAGGGCATATGAAGGGCATATGAAGGGCATATGAAGGGCATATGAAGGGCATATGAAGGGCATATGAAGGGCATATGAAGGCATATGAAGGGCATATGAAGGGCATATGAAGGGCATATGAAGGGCATATGAAGGGCATATGAAGGGCATATGAAGGGCATATGAAGGGCATATGAAGGGCATATGAAGGGCATATGAAGGGCATATGAAGGGCATATGAAGGGTATATGAAGGGCATATGAAGGGTATATGAAGGGCATATGAAGGGCATATGAAGGGCATATGAAGGGCATATGAAGGGCATATGAAGGGCATATGAAGGGTATATGACATGTCCTGAACCCCACGGTCATGTGAGGCAGAACCCCATCCCACCTGAACACTCACCTGAACACTCACCTGCACACTCACCTGCACACTCACCTGCACACTCACCTGAACACTCACCTGAACACTCACCTGCACACTCACCTGCACACTCACCTGCACACTCACCTGAACACTCACCTGAACACTCACCTGAGCACGAATCTATGCAACTGATGTTTCGCATCCACCTCTGCCGCACCCAACCACCCACCCACCCACCCACCTGTGGCACATGTAAGTCATGAACCCCGCATAGTCGTATCTGGCAGGTCCCATCCCATCCCCACATGCATTTGATCCCCCACATCACATTGTTCCCTCCACTCACATGCATATGTCACTCCCGCCCACCCACCTGTGGCGCATGTACGTCATAAACCCTGCATAGTCGTATCTGGCAGGTCCCATCCACCTCAGCGTCTCACTCTCCTTTGTCACCGCGCCATAGAATCCGTACCTGGGGAGGGGAAGGAGGTTGGGAGAAGGGGGGAAGGAGGTGGGGGAAAGTCGGGCGGTTGGAGATGTCTCAAAATATGGTCAACGGAAAGGGACAGGTAGGGGAACGATGAAAGGGGTAGGAAGAGGGGCAGGGGTAGGGGTAGGAAGGAACGATGAAGAAAGGAGGGACAGGTAGTGTTGTTATTTGCTTGTGTGTTTATGAGTTACGGGTGTACACATTAGGGGACAAGGTAATTTACCCGAAGAATGATGCAGCGTATCGAACATCACACTCCATCTGCTGCTGCTCTTCCTCCTTCCTGGAAGCTTCCGCTACACCTTCCCTTGCTCCATTTATCTCTCTTCTCTCCACCCATCCTCCTGAGTCTCCTCCTCTTTCCTCTGCTTTTGCCGGTTGTGCTGACTCAGCAACTTCGGCTGCTGAGTCAGCGCCAACCTGGAACCGAGTCATCGAGGTTTCGGATAGGGCCGAAGGGGAGGAGGAGAGGGTGGATGGGGAAGCGGGGGCGGAAGAGGAGAAATCGGGGGAGGAGGAGAGGGGAGATGCCGAAGCTAGGACAGTGGCTTGGCCCGAAGCTAAGTCTGCAGGTTCTGGTTGGAGGTTCGGTGAGAATATAGGTTCGGAAGGGGTGGGTAGTGATTGGTAGGAGGTGGCGGTGGGAGGTTCGGAGGAGGGGAAGGAGGAGGGGGAGGAGGAGGGGGAGGAGGGGGATGAAGAGGAGGAGTAGGCAGCAGGTTTCCAGGAAGTTACCCGCACAACATCCATGGGAGTGCGTCGGCCAATCACAACGTTCAGTGCTGACGTGGCAGGGTCACGCGAACCAATGAGGCTGCAGGAGGGAACATTAAGGGTGCAATGTGGTGAGAAGGATGAAAGGGAAGAAAGGGGTTGAGTGCAGTGACAACGGGTGACCAATAGCGATCGGGAGGAACATATCGGCAGGGAAAAAGGGGGAAAGAGGCAGAGTTGAGTTTTGAGTCGACTCAAAACTCAACATATTCGCAGGGAAAAAGGGGAGAGGAGGCAGAGTTGAGTGAGGAATATGTTCCTACAGAGGGTGACGGTGAGGAGGCACGAAGAGCACCTCTTGAGTGCCCCTCACATCAGGTGAGGTGGGTGGTAAAGGGGGTGAGATTGGTAACTCCACAAGCCCCTCACCTTGGTAAGGTGGTAAGTGGTAAGGTGGTAAGTGGTAAGGTCGTAGTCCCTCCCCTCTTGCATTCAGAAGGAATGATCCCAATCCACAGCTTCCTAGGCAGACACAAACCCAACCCCCCCCCTTCCCCCCCCCACCTCATCCCGTCTGACAGAATGCAGTTCTGGTTCTCGTCCCACCCAACCCCCCTCCTCACCTCATGGCAATGCAATCTGTAGAACCGGCAGGGATGATCCCAAGGCTCAGCCGCCTAGGCAGACACAACCCCACTCCCGTCCTCTCCCTCCCCTAATGGCGGTACAGACTGTCACAATCCAACTCTCGTGATTGCCCCACCTTCCCTTTCCTCACCTCATGGCAATGCAGTCAGTCGACCCAGCAGGAATAATCCCAATCCTCAGCCTCCTAGGCAGACACAACCCCACTCCGCCATCCTCCCCAAATCCTCCCTCCCTCCACTCATCCACTCCCCTTCCCCACTCCCCCACTCCTGCCCTCTCCTCCCCTTCCCCACCTTCCTCCTCCTCCCCCTCTTCCCCCTCGCGCACCGTCCCCCAGTCACTCAAAAACGTTGCATTCCTGACCCCCGGACCAAAACTGCTTCGACCGAAGCTGCGCCGAGCCTGCTGCGCCTTGGGCGTCTCGTAAAACCCCTTCGCCCCGCCGCCCCCCTCCTTGGGAGTCGGGAAATAATACCCATCCGAGCCGCCACTACCAGGCTTAGGAGTCTCATAGTACGATCCGGCTTTAGGAGTCGCATAGTAGCCTTTAGGAGTGTCATACCCATACCCGGCAGGAGTATTTAATCCAGCAGGGGTATTAAGGCCATCATGGAAATTAAAGACACCAGGAGTCTCTAAACCAGGAGTATTTAACCCTGCAGGGATGTCCAAACCCCTGCCGCCTCCTCTCGGCGAATCATCGCCGTCCACGTCAGCATGCCCCCCGCCGGTTTGCCCGAATGTGTGTGTGCCCTTGTCATTATTGCGTCGCCAGTTGTTCAAATTCAACCCCGCAGCAGCCAACCACCCCTTGCTCCCCACTCGCTTCCTCCCCTCCCTTCCTCCCTCCTCCCCCTCCTCCTCCTCCTCCTCGTCCTCCCCTCCTCTCTCCTCTCCGCTCTCCTTCCCGTCTCCTCTCTTTTTTCCTTCACATGGTTGCCCTGCGCTGCCCATGTCCAGGTTCACTGCACCTGCCGCCTCCAACTCGCTCTCCTGCCTGCAAAACCTGCCGAGCGTCAGCTTCCTCACCAAACCTGGAGCGCAGGCTCGGTCCGAACCTGCGGGGCCAACACCTGCACCACCAGCAGCGCCAACATCATCAGCATAAGCAGTGTCGCCATCTGAAACAACTACACGCTCCTGCGCTGCATTCTCCTCTCCCCCCTCTTCCTCCTCCTCCTCCTCCTCCTCCTCCTCCTCCTCCTCCCTCTCCTCTTCTTCTTTCTCTGCTGTCGTGGCGCCCTGCCACGCTGGCAGCTGCTCCAAATCGCCTCCTGACCCCGAATCGGCTCCCAAACCGCCTCCTATTCCCAATCCACCTCCTAATCTTAAACCCCCTGTGTCTGTACCGTTGTCCTTGACCGACCTAGCCAACTCTGATCCACAGTCCTCCTTCCCTGCGCTCCTAATCCTTCCCCTCTCGCTCCCGCTTCTGCCAGCACCGCATGGGGCGGTGGAGGGCGGCGGGAGGCGCAAGCGCGCGGGGCGCACGCACGGAAAGGCGCGATGGCGCCGCCTCGCGAGCCCGTTGAGCGCCTCGTTGAACAGCCCGTCGCCGCCCTGAGGGATGGGGGGAGAAGGGAATGGAGTTGGGATGGGTTGGGATGGTTTCAGATGTGTACAACAGGCATCAGCGCCTCGCCAGCCCGTTGGGCGCCTCGTTGAACAGCCCGTCGCCGCCCTGACGGTGGGGGGGAGGGGGAAGGGGGGGAATGGGAGTTGGGATTGGTTGGGATGGGTTGCGAGCGGTACAGCACTTCAGCGCCTCGCCAGCCCGTTTGGCGCCTCGTTGAACAGCCCGTCGCCGCAGTGGGGCAGCGGGTTGGAATGGAAGGGTTCAAAGGGTTGCAAAACAGCATCAGTACTTGGCCTCGTTGAACAGCGTGCGACTGTGTGTGCGACGCTGCGTGCGACTGTGTGTGCGACTCACCACGACGATGATCCCGTCGAGCTGGCAGAGCTCCTTGTCCGACGCGTTCTGCAGCATGTCGCGCGCGTGGTTGCGACGGCTAGTTACCACCACCTGCAACCAACGAAACAATTGCGAATGAGAAAATTCGTTATTATTGTTCGTACGTGCAATCTTACGACAACCGAAACGCCCAAAATTTCTCTAAGCGGAGAAGGACGCGCGATTGGTGCTTGCTGCTGCTACTGTTCGCCATAAAACTTCGCGAACTCTGTGGTAACCACAGGCTCACCTGCACGGCGACTCCTGCGCGATCGAACACGGGTCGAACCGCCTCCCATGTCTTTAATCCCTTCTTCCGCCCGCCAATAGGGTTCACGAACACTAAGAGGCTCCTAGGGCGCTCCGGGTCGGCGCGCAGCAGCGAGAGGATGCGGTCCGACCACTGCTGGCACACGTCAGCGTTGGCGTGGCAGAAGACGAGCTTGAGCGGCATCCAACGGTCGGCGGAGCGGCGGAACGTGTGAACCGCGAATTGATGCATCTACGCACGCGGGGAGTTGGGGGGCGGAGGGTGGGGGGTGGGGGAGGGGGTGGGAGATTTGGGTGAATACAAGAGCACGGGGAATACTCGAAAGGGAGCGGAGCGGCGGAACGTGTGCACCGCGAATTGATGCATCTGCCCTCGACGGGGGGAAGCCGGGGAGAGTGCGGGGGGAGGGGAGCGGATGAGAGGCGGAGGGAAGGGGTGGAGGGCAGGGAAGGGGAAAGCAAGGGTAAGATATGCGGGAAGGGGTGAGGGGAGGGGGGAGGAGGAAGCGGGGGAGAGGGGGGAGGACGAGGTCCAGAGTGAACGGGGGCGAAGATAGCAGCGGATGAGGACAAGTTGGCGCCAGCCGCGCACTTTTCGCGCGCTCCCCTCGCGCATATCTCTCATTCGCTTGTCAGCGTTGCCGTCGAACGCGGGGGCTCCTTCCGCCTATCTCCTTCCGCAGGGAGCCCTTCTCGTCAGAGGCTATTTGGTCCCGAGTCCGTCAAGAAAAAATCACCAAAATCCTTATTGCAGTGTAGCATCACCAGAGGAGTGTACCTTAACGGGACTCGCAAAGAAGCTGCTCTTAACGGATGCCTCTGGGAGCATTTCAACGGCGTAGATTTCGTTGATGGGTGCTGAGCTTGCATTTGGTTGTCCCAGACCGCAGTCGTGGCACGGATTGGTTGCAGGGCACCTCTGAGCGGAGATCACGGAAAGAGATATGGAATGGGAAGAGAAACAATGAGAGAGGTCTGAAAAAGGGGTAAGGAGGGGGATAGGAATAAGGAGCAAGGATAGAGCGGGAGTCAATTGAGTCGACTAAAAAAACACCTCCGAGGGGTAGGAATAAGGAAGTGGGATGAAGGTGGTCTATGTAACCGAGGCAGGATTCGACGGAGGAGAAAAGACGGACGAGAACCGACGGAGAAAATTGACGGAGGAGGAAATGACGAACGAAGAGATGGCAGCGAGAATTGACGGCAATGTGACGAAATGTGTCTGCGCCGTCAGCGACGGAGTCCTCGAACCATTTCTCATTTACGTACGAAGGCTAACGGATACCGCGAGTGGAAACGGACGCAGGGCGATAAGGCTGGCCTGTCATTCCTGGATTGACCCACTTATTCAGTACCTACAGACTGATACAGCACCTGCTGGCCACCTGTAAATTCATTATAAGCTCGTCTTGAGTCTTGCTATTTTTAGTAGCTACCTGACTCGCGGATTCGTCCACTCTGTGCCACAAAATCCCGTCGACCATGAGCGCGGCGCGGACGTGGCCGGAATTCGGAATTAAGAATGACTCTTCCAGCAGCGTGTCTCGAGCCGTGCCCCCGTTCTTGCCGGCCGCCGTCCCCCCATGCCATCCGGCCCTTCCGCGCCGTCCGTCCGCGTTACTAGCGCTTCGCGACATTACGGCAATATCTGGGGCGTGCTTGAAGCCCAGGTCTACGTCTACCATTCCCCCATCGCACTCACTAGTCATGGAAATGAAAAAAGTAAACGCCTTATCTGTCAGAAGAAAGGCGCAACACGAGCTACAGTATCGTACCCCTCCCACAGCCACCTGTCAGACTGCCAGAAATGCTTGCCAGAGCTTGCCTGTTCGCACAGCAACCAGCCCAATCGCGTCTGGCCTAGTGGAATGCGAAGGGGAAGGAATGGGTGGAAGAGCGATCCAGACGCAAAAATCCGTGACGGGGGTGAAGGAGACGTGCGTACTTTTGGCCGCGAAATGCATTTCAAGTTACAAGCGAGCAGGGAAAGCACGAAGAGAAGCAGAGGGGAGGGGAGGGCGCGAGCGAGCAAGCGAGCGAGGTGCCGCGGTGATGCTTGTTTTGGGGGCGGTGTGGAGCTGGGTGAGGAGGAGTGCAGCGGGACGGAGCGGGGCGGAGCGGAGCAATTGCGCGCGTGAGAGAAACGGCGGTGACTTGTGAAATGTACATACTACGGGGGGGCTCGACGAGTTGGGGGATGGCGCAACGGGTGGGGGAAATGGCGCGACAAGTGGAGAAAATGGCGCAACGGGTGGGGGAATGGCGCGACGTTTTCAGTGCAAGGTTGGGGAATTGGTGCGAGCGGATTCGTTGGTGGGACAACAGCGGGGCGAGTTTGGGTTGGGTTGGGTGAGGGAAATCCGCAGCGCGAGGGGGAAAGTTCGCTCTGTGGAAGAAATTCCGGCCATTATCTCCGATACTCAGATTTTTCATGAGCGCGTTCTCAGGTGTAATCACCAACAGAAACACAGTTTCTCGATATAGTAGGAATCTATTTTGTGTCATATTTGTATACAGTCACTCAGAAAGAGGAAGTCTAGCACTTGCAATAAATAAATATAATACCCGTAGCAAACCTATATGTTTTCCAGGAAGGATCAACCCTAAACACCGAAAGCCTCCAAATATTTTGGAAAACTTATTGCAACTCTTTTTGACCAAAAAAATAATACCCACCTCGGAAAGGGATGCGACTCGGGGATGCATCAACCCTAAAAACAATGCCCATTTCCGTGTTTAGGGTTGACCCCTCTCGAAAATGCATCCAGGTTCCCTAGGGGTTTCATTTGTTTTTTCTGCCATGCCCGAATGGGTCTCGGTAGCGTCGTCTAGTGCTTTTGGTAGCATTGTTTAGCGGTCGGTTGTGCTACTGAGCACTACCAAGTGAATTATATGGGCTTCATTCTCTTAATACCTTAATTTTTCCGAAAGATGAGGTCTCGGGATCAAATCCCCCCTGCGGCGTATTCTGCCAGCCCCCACTAGAAGGGGCTACTCAACTACTCATCTGGGAGTGGATAGAACAACCTCGTTGACCCAGCAAGGAGTGTAAACAAATGGGGAGGCGGGTTACGATCGGCAGCCAGGTGTGGGTAACACCCAGAGGGGCTTCCCCCCCTTTTTTACCTTTACCTTAATTTCCGTACATATATCCAGGTCGGGAGGGTAAACTGGATGGTTTTGTTTTTGTCACTTCCTAATGAGTTCGACCAGCGTGAGAAATGCGACTAAAAAGCGACGACCAATCAACGTTGAGAAAGTCCAGGTTGATTACACCTGAGAACGCGCTCATGAGAAATCTGAGTATCGGAGATAATGGCCGAAGAAATTCACTTTCGGGCAAGCCTGGCCAACGAGACTTGTGACAGGCGTGAAATTGGAGCAGGCAGGGAGTGAAAGTGACGCCTGATTCGTTTGAGAGTTGTGACGCGTTACATGACACCAGTCACATGACACGAGTCACATGACATGACCTTGACACATGTGTGACGGGACAAACTTGTGGGGCTGGGGGACGAAATGCAGGGCACTTTGCGCCGAACGCGGTGGGCGTATGAGGAGTGGAAAATGGCGGGAAATAGGAGGAAAGCGGCTGCCGCCCTTTGCCCTATGTAGGGGACAGGCCTGGAAAAGGAAAGGTCACTAGCTACATCACATGCAACCTGTTTGCAGGTAGGTCTCTGGGGGAAAGTGATTGTTGGTGGGACGGTGGATGGATGTTGCACAGTCATCTGATCACAGTTCATCCTATCGTTACACATCCACTGTTCTTTGGCAGCACACCATCACTTGCATCACTGATGGTCGTCGCCTTTCACCATGGTCCATCATCCTTCATCAATGTCATGCCCGAAAGTAGTTGGGAAAGACGGGTACACCCTGTTTCTCGACCCTCTCACCTTGCGCGATTCGCTGCTACAGTGCGGTCAGGTGCCATAAACCGTATGGCTGAAACCTGCGGGCAAAGCCGCACCAGCTGACGGAGTGGTACTGGGGGCAAAATTTTTCTTTATCGCTGTATACCCTTTTCAACCGCTTTGAAACGCTTGGTTAATGTTCTTTACCATGCAGCATCCTAGCTAACCGCTTTCTTGTGAATGTGCTTGTACCGTCGGTGATAAGACCATTTCAAACGTGGTGACGTTCTACAACCAGTGAATGTTCTGCAACCAGATGCTCTGCTAGCACGAAACAGGGTGTAGATAGAAATAGCCGTTGTAGGGGGAATCGACCCGCTGTTGCGGAGTCAAACGGTCCGCGGTCAGCTTTCCAAACTCACCAACTCCAAAGCAGACCTGCAAAATGAGATCCTCCGCTCCGCCGCAAGCCTACATGCAAGGTTTTGCTTTTCAAAAAGCGCTTCCCGTAAACCGCGGAGAGCCCAAAGTTTTCCAGAAAACCCGATCACATGGCAATACTTCCAACCACACATGCAATCCCAGTTCCATGCCCGTCAAGAGGCCGTTCCCAAGACGAGCGACTGAAGCGATACATTCACCTGGTATACATCAATAGGACCAACGTAAGGAAACATATAAGGAAACTGAATAGGCAACACTTTTCATCAATTATCTCTGGGTACTTTACACTAGCTTTACACAATCCTAAAACTGAACATTTGCCACATGTATTTGACACCCTGGACTTCCAGTCAGTCAAACAAGCTGCTCTGTATGAATTAAGGAACCCAAAAGCATGTGGGACACCAGCAGCTCCGACCCAGATGAACGAAATGCATGGAGCAAAAAAAATTGCTCAGCACTAACGAGCGCATAAAACAGTCTCAGCATGGCAACTGGTGACAATGGTGCCAAAAGCTAGTTCCTGATCCAGTGCGGTTGAAAGCGGTGCCTGCAGGCATCTTATTTGCTGGAGGGAGGCGGCCCTGCAGCCACAGCAGCAACAGCAGCCGCTGCTGCAGCCTCGGCAACAAGATCCTTCCTGGAAGCATCCCACATCTGCTGCTCCAGGTTCAGCTTGCGGACCTCCATAAGCCCGCGCTCCGCTGGTGACATCATCATGACATCACAGTAACATCAGCATGACACCAGCATCAGTCAGATAAGAGAGATGAACAGGGAAGGGGAGGGAAGGGGGGGTGCGGAGGAGAGGCGTTTAGTTAGTGTGTGTCAGATAATGCATGCGTGTTCTATACTCATCTTGCGTGTGAGCACTATGCATGTATTACACTACACACATGTGTGTGTATGATTCAACATAAATGAGCACAAACATGCACACACACACACACACACACATGCACACACACACACATGCACATGTACACACACACATGCACACAAACACACACACACGCACACACACACATACGCGCGCGCGCACACACACACACACACACACACACACACACACACACACACACACACACACACACACACACACACACACACAGACAGGAGGGAGCTTCACAGTGCTCCTGGAGATCAAGGTTCAAAAATACGACGTATTTTTGAAAATTTACCGTAAATTACGGTATCGTAATTTACGGTCGTAAATTACGGTAAAAAACTGTTTGACATTGCAAAATTAGGCTGGTTCAAAAATACGGTCGTAAATTACGACCGAAAGTTTGAAACCGAGTTTGTGTATAGCGAATTTCAACATTTCCCAACCGTCAACCTGTTCGTGAGAATTTTTGTGGCCCCAAACCCACTCGAGAGTGTTTTTTTCCCGAGTCGCGAGTGTCAGCAAAATCTTGAGGCGCAACATTGTGCATTTTGCTGACAGTTTAACAGGTTTGTTGCCCATTCGCACACTCGTTTGTGTATTTCGCCGAATCGCAAATGTACAAATTTGTGCGACGCGGCAAATTGTACATTTGGCAAACGGATAACACAAGTCTACCCGTTTCGCCAAGTCGGTGGGTCGTTTCGCGGCCCGTTCGTTTTTTTCGCCCGCATGCGCTACTCAACTCAATTTCGACACTGCAAAACCATTCCAACCAATAGCGTTCGTCCAATCTTCATCCCTTCCATCTCATCCCTTTTGCATATTCCATTCGCCAACGCAACACCACCAAGTTAAACCAGGGCAAAAACCACCATTCTGTAGTGTAGTATGTTGTCGCCTTCCTTGTCATCGTTGTAAGCTTTCTAGGAATTTCTGGAAAAAAAAAAAAATCCGCAAAAAATGTCCATTTAAAAAACGACCGTATTTTTGCCAAAACCACCGTAAATTACGACCGTAATTTACGTTTACCGTATTTTTGAACCTTGCTGGAGATCCAGCACACCAGCCTCTCTCTGCTGCAATCTCCGGCTCCGCCTTGTGCTCCCTCCACCAGTTTCCTAAGATACCTGACTACCTTCCCTGACCCGGTTACCCTGCCAGCACACCCTCACAGCCCTCCATCTCACCATCCACAGCATCGTGCGCAGAGGGCTTCACAGCGCTCCTGGAAATCCAGTACGCCAGCTGCTCATCTCTACCTTGACTCTCTTGACTCACTTGACTCCATTGACTCTCTTGACTCTCTTGACTCCATTGACTCTCTTGACTCCATTGACTCCATTGAATCTCTTGACTCTCTTGACTCCATTGACTCTCTTGACTCCATTGACTCCATTGACTCTCTTGACTCACCATCCACAGCATCGTGCGCAGTCGGTTTCACAGTGCTCCTGGAGATCCAGTACGCCAGCCGCTCTGCCGCAATGTCTGGCTCCACCTTGTGGTCGCGTGCCCGCCGCCACCAGTACACCAGCCAGTTCTGCTTGAACCTCACGTCCTCCACCTCCTCATCGCTCAGGTCTGCACGGGTAGAAGGCAAGGGGAGGGAAGAAAGTAGTAAGAGGGTGAAAGAGACACCTTGTGGCCGCGTGCCCGCCGCCACCAGTACACCAGCCAGTTCTGCTTGAACCTCACGTCCTCCACCTCCTCGTCGCTCAGGTCTGCACGGGTAGAAGGCAAGGGGAGGGAAGAAAGTAGTAAGAGGGTGAAAGAGACACCTTGTGGCCGCGTGCCCGCCGCCACCAGTACACCAGCCAGTTCTGCTTGAACCTCACGTCCTCCACCTCCTCGTCGCTCAGGTCTGCACGGGTAGAAGGCAAGGGGAGGGAAGAAAGTAGTAAGAGGGTGAAAGAGACACCTTGTGGCCGCGTGCCCGCCGCCACCAGTACACCAGCCAGTTCTGCTTGAACCTCACGTCCTCCACCTCCTCGTCGCTCAGGTCTGCACGGGTAGAAGGCAAGGGGAGGGAAGAAAGTAGTAAGAGGGTGAAAGAGACACCTTGTGGCCGCGTGCCCGCCGCCACCAGTACACCAGCCAGTTCTGCTTGAACCTCACGTCCTCCACCTCCTCGTCGCTCAGGTCTGCACGGGTAGAAGGCAAGGGGAGGGAAGAAAGTAGTAAGAGGGTGAAAGAGACACCTTGTGGTCGCGCGCCCGCCGCCACCAGTACATCAGCCAGTTCTGCTTGAACCTCACGTCCTCCACCTCCTCGTCGCTCAGATCTGAAAGCATGAGGGAGCGAGGAATGGGAAACAATATGGATTGGAACAGGGTTCAACGGACGAGGGAGGAGTGATGGATGGATCAATGAACAGAAACGAAGAGAAAGGACAGATGGACGAGGGGGGAAGACAGGCACAAGTGAGGGGCCGCAGAGATTGATTTTGAGAATTCTCAAAATCAATCTCAAACAAAAAGGGGGGAAGACAGGCACAAGTGAGGGGCCGCAGAGCATAGCATAGCATAGGCAAGGGGTCGAAGGATGGAAGGAGGGAGGCAAGGCAGAAAGTGAGAAAGGAATATAAGGGACGAAGGAAGGATGGAGCACGGGAGAAGGGGAGGTAGGGAGGGAGGGAGGCAGGGAGGGAGGGAGGTTGGGAGGGAGGGAGGTAGGGCAGAGGAACTCACCCATAGACTCGACCATCCTTGGACCCTCTTCAGCAGCTGCACCCACAGACAGAGGGGACAAGAGGGAGAGGAGAAAGTTGGTGGTTAGGTTAGACGTGAATGAAAAGATAAAGGAGAGGTGGTGAGGCTCAGGAGAGAGAGCTGCTAGGTAGGGATGGGACTAGGAGAGAGCTGCTAGGTGGGGATGGGACTAGGAGAGAGCTGCTAGGTAGGGATGGGACTAGAAGAGAGCTGCTAGGGATGGGAGTAGGAGAGAGCTGCTAGGGATGGGAGTAGGAGAGAGCAGGGCAAGAGAGGGGGATACACCAGACCAGAAGAATGGAGGTGCCAGGCAGCATGGGGACATACATTTCTGAGGCGCCTCAAAAAGGTGCCAGGCAGCATGGGGACATACATTTCCAAACCATGGAAAAAGAAGGAACACCACTCTTACCTGAGCACGAACATCAGTCTATCATGGAAAAGGATAGTCACGGAGTGCACTTTGAGCAGCACGGGGCCGCAGTGCTGTGCCATAGTCAGCAGCAGCACTCCCTCCTCCACCTTGAGAGCTGAAAACCCTCCTCCACGCTAGAGACAGACAGTCTGCTTACCAAAAGACCATGGAGACTCCTAAAGAGTGGAGTGCATTTTCAGAAGGGCAGGGTGGCGGCGCTGTGCCATGGCGAGCAACACGCCCTCCTCCACCTTGCAAGCAGATAAACCCCCTATAGGCAGTCCCCTTACCTGAAGGAGCGGAGTGCACTTTGAGCAGAGCCGGGCGGCGGTGCTGCTCCATAGCCAGCAGCACTCCCTCCTATAGGCAACCCCCTAAAGGCAGTCCCCTTACTCCTCCACCTTGGGTGCTGCCAGGTCTCTGAGTGCCTTCTCAATGCGAAGCGTGAGGCAGCACTCGCTCCTCCACCTTGAGCACCGCCAGGTCTCTGAGTGCCTTCTCATCCCACCGCCTCATCTGTACCCAACCGCACCCCCCTCCTCCACCTTGAGCGCTGGCAACTCGTTATAAACAGGTTCCTTACCTGACGGTGCCGAGTGCACTTTGAGCAGTGCGGGGCGGCGGTGCTGGGCCATGGCGAGCAGCACCCCCTCCTCCACCTTGAGCGCCGCCAGGTCTCTGAGTGCCTTCTCCACCTGAAACATGCTCTCTATGTTGCTCTCCGTGCCCACCGTCGCTGGCTTGTCCTCTGTGGGAGGAAGAGGTGGGGGAAGGAGGGCGAGGGGGAAGGAGGGGATAGGACGGGGGGAGGAAGGGGAAGGGAGAGCGGACAGAGTTGTTGGCTGCCCCAGCAACCACCTTGAGCGCCGCCAGGTCTCTGAGGGCCTTCTCCACCTGAAACATGCTCTCTATGTTGCTCTCCGTGCCCACCGCCGGCGGTTTCTCCTCTGGGGGAACAAAGGAGGGGAGATGACGAGGTGATGGGAGAGGAAGAGGGGGTTGGGGTTGCCTCAGCAGCCAGACCACCTTGAGAGCCGCCAGGTCTCTGAGTGCCTTCTCCACCTGAAACATGCTCTCTATGTTGCTCTCCGTGCCCACCGTCGCCGGCTTGTCCTCTGTGGGAGGGGTGGGAGGAGGTAGTGGGAATTGAAGGGAGAGAAGCGGGGGATGGATGAGGAGAAAAAGTTCCACAAGCCTCCTTGGCCAAAAACTTTTCCAAGGCCTGGGTACCCAGCCAGCCCTACACATTTTTCCTTCTATCTGCCTCATTCTCCCAACCTCCCACAACACACCCCGTACTGGTGACTCGCCCTTCTTCTCCCCATGCAACTCATACAGCACTCCGACAATCACCACTTCAAAAAGTATTTCAACGCCCTTCCCCATGCGGTCAGCTCTTCCCGAACCCCCTTCCCCTTACATGGAGGCGCCTCAAGAGATGTTTCAACATATCAGCTTTGAGACGTCTCAGAACTCCTTTTTTCACGTGCCTTTACCATGCGGTCAGCTCTTCCCGAGCCCCCTTCCCCTTACATGGAGGCGCCTCAAGAGATATTTCAACATATCAGCTTTGAGACGTCTCAGAACTCTTCTTTTTTCACGTGCCTTCCCCATGCGATCAGCTCTTCCCGAACCCCCTTCCCCTTACATGGAGGCGCCTCAAGAGATATTTCAACATATCAGCTTTGAGACGTCTCAGAACTCTTCTTTTTTCACGTGCCTTCCCCATGCGATCAGCTCTTCCCGACCCCCCTTCCCCTTACATGGAGGCGCCTCAAGAGATATTTCAACATATCAGCTTTTCCCCGTTCTCCCCTTTCTCTCCCCACTCATATCACCTTTCTTCCAGTTGGGCCACAACCTAACACAGCCGCGCCTCACCTTTCTCCCCGCCGTCGGGCTCCTCCCGGGCCTTCCTGCCTACATCAATGACCACCTCGAAGGGCAGAGAAGCACAAGCACCCCCTCCCTCGCCTTCCCTCCCCCTCTCTCTCTCTCTCTCTCTCTCTCTCTCTCTCTCTCTCTCTCTCTCTCTCTCTCTCTCTCTCTCTCTCTCTCTCTCTCTCTCTCTCTCTCTCTCTCTCTCTCACCTTTCTCCCCGCCGTCGGGCTCCTCCTGGGCCTTCCTGCCCGCATCAAAGACCACCTCGAAGGGCGGATGCGAGTACTTCTACTTACCCGCCATCCCTCTTTTCCCCCCTCCCCTTCCTTGCCCCTCACACAACCGCGCCTCACCTTTCTCGCCACCGTCAGGCTCCTCCCGGGCCTTCCTGCCCGCGTCAATGACCACTTCGAAGGGCAGAGGCACACCAACAAGCACCCCTCCCGTCTCCGTTCCCCCACCCCCAAACGGCTCACCTTTCTCGCCACCGTCAGGCTCCTCCCGGGCCTTCCTGCCCGCATCAATGACCACTTCGAAGGGCAGAGGAGAGTACTTCTGCCAGTGGTCGCTGCGAGAGCTGGCGATCTCAGCATGCACACCTGAAGAAGGGAGGAGGAGGTGGAGGGGAGGAGTGGGGAGGGGAAAAGAGGGGAGATGAGATGAGATGAGATGAGATGCATCATTCACCACCTCCCTTCAAAAGGGCAGAGGTGAGTACTTCTGCCAGTGGTCGCTGCGGGAGCTGGCGATCTCCGCATGCACACCTGGTTCGATTAAGAAGAGAGAGAGAGAGGCAGTGAGTGCGGGGAGGAAAGGGAAAGATGGGAGGGGGAGAAAGAGAGGGGAGATGTGTCGATGACAATGACCACCTCGAAGGGCAGAGGCGAGTACTTCTGCCAGTGGTCGCTGCGGGAGCTGGCAATCTCCGCATAAATAAGAGCTAAGCTGTGCAGAACATCAATTTACAGTGGCGAGAGGCCAGCACCCAGTGGCGGGCGAGCCAGCAGCGCTTGAGCACCGCCTCCTCCTTCTCCTCCGGGGTCAGTAGAATGCGCGCTGTGAGGCTTCCTTGGAGAACACTTTTGCAGTCGAGCAGGAAACACACATGTACCAGTCACGAGCATACACACGCACCCACAGACCTACCGTGGCGAGAGGCTAGCGCCCAGTAGCGGGCGGGCCAGCAGCGCTTCAGCACCACCTCCTCCTTCTCCTCGGGGTTCAGCAGAATGCTTCAATGCACGTTGTGAGGCATTGCTTTGAGCCACACACACACCACACATCAAATCACATGCGCGTACCATGACGGGAGGCCAGCGCCCAGTAACGAGCCAGCCAGCAGCGCTTGAGCACCACCTCCTCCTTCTCCTCGGGGGTCAGCAGAATGCGCGCCGTGAGGCTCCTGAGCGCCCTCACCTCCTCGCTCGCCTGCCTCGCCTCCTCCATCGCTGCTGCCGCCTCCTCCCTCTGGGACTGCAGGGGGTGCATACACGACAGGTGGGTGGGATGGCGTGCACATACGGAAAGGGCAGGCATTATTCTCCTGTGATTGTCACCAAGAGGCTCCTGAGCACCCTCGCCTCCTTGCCCGCCTGCCTCGCCTCCTCCCTCTGGGACTGCAGGAGATGCGACGATGCACAAATAGCAGAATGGAAACATGGACGGGTGGGTGGCAGACACACAGGGAAAGCGCATGTGCTATTCCCCTGTCATCGCCGCTGTGTGGCTCCTCCCCCCTCACCTGCCTTGCCTCCTCCAACGCTGCTGCCCCCTCCTCCATCTGCAACTCCAGTCACTCAGTGACTCACTCCCACCCATTCCCACCAATTTACACTCCCCTTCACTCCTTCCCTCACCTCCAGCTCCATCCTGAGCGTGGTGATCTGATCTCCACCTCCTTCACGCCCTTGGCAAGCTATGACCCCACTCACTCAGTGACACACTCCCACTCACTCCCAACCACTCCCACCCATTTCCACCCATTTCCACACCCTCACCTCCAGCTCCATCCTGAGCGTGGTGATCTCCACCTCCTTCACGTCCTTGCTCTTTTCCTTCATGGCTACACTCCCTCTCATTCAGCGACACACACTCTCGCCCACTCCAACCCACTCCCACCCATTTGCACTCCCTTTCACCCCTCTTCACCCACGTCCTCACCTCCAGCTCCATCCTGAGCGTGGTGATCTCCACCTCCTTCACGTCCTTGCTCTTGTCCTTCATCTCCTTTAGACTCGCCTGCAATGTCATTGTCATGCATGCCCCACACACACACAAGCACACACACAGGCAGGTGAGAACAAAGAATGGCAATCAAAGCAGGCCATCAAAGGGTATGCATGAAGGCATGGGCAGGGCAGGGCTGTCAAATCACGGATGGGTGAACAAGGCTATGAGATCTGCTGGATGGGTAATCCATGCATGCAGGCGAGTATTAGCATGCAAGCAGGAGCAGTGCGAGTATTAGCATGCAAGCAGGAGCAGTGCGAGCATTAGCATGCAAGCAGGAGCGGTGCGAGTATTAGTGAACAGAAATTACCTCGCGCTGCTTGAGAACCGCCTCTTTCCTGCCAGGGGGGAAGCGAGTGGCGCGAGGAGGGGAGGGGAGGAGCAGAGCATTGCCTGTCTGTCAACTTTTGAGTCGACTCAAAAGCATGCCTGTCTGTCAACACCTTCACGAGATTTGCCTCAAGAAACGCCTTTTGAGGCACCTCAAAACAGAAACTCAAGAGATTTGCGCAGCAAATGAGTTCAGAGATGTCTTGAAAATCAGAGTAGCAAAGTGAGGCGGGGGACCGGGGGGGAGCAGCGCAGAGAAAGAAAGACAAGCGGAGAAGAAGGTTCAGGAGGAAGAGAACTGGCTGGGCTCAAAGGGAGGGGGGGCGATGGGGGAGGAAGGAGGGGGGAGTGGTGTCTGGATTGGATAAATCGGGTTGACCCCAGGAATCCAGTTTTAAAAAATCGTTTGGGTTTTGCTCACTTGTTGAGAAGACGGGCCTCCAGGCTGAGCCCTTCTCCCATCTTGGCCACCTGCAGGACGACAGAGGGATAGAGCAAGAGATTGAGTGGCAGAAAGCGGTGGAGCGCAGTCCAAGGGTAGAGTACGGGCAGTATGTGGAAAGCCAATGCCTACACAGAAGGGCAGTGGCAGTGGTAGTGACTTTTCTCAACTCGACTCAGCTTGGCCCGGCCCGGCCCAACTCAGTTCGGCTTGGGCCGACCTGACCCGACCCAACCTGACCGAACCAATCTGGGCCAAACCGAACCGAGCCGAACCAAACCGACTTGACTTGTTTTGGCCTTGACTTAACTCTCCCCTCGCCCTCCTCACTACCCCAACCTCTCACTCACTCCTCTCACTCCCTCCTCCCACTCCAACCTCTCATTCCCCCCTCTCACTAACCTCCCCCCCACCCACCTGCTTCTCCAGCTCCTGCCCGCGCGCCTTCTTCTCCTTCAACCAAGTCCGCCCCTCCTCTTAACCACCTCTCCCATTACCCCTCTCAATCATTCCCCTGCCCTTCCCGCGCACCCCCCCACCCCCCTCCCCTCCCCCACCCACCTGCTTCTCCAGCTCCTGCACGCGCGCCTGCTTCTCCTTGAGGTCCTCCTCCGCCATGCGCAGCTGCAGGGGCGGGGGGAGAGGAGAGGGGGAGTGTGGGGAAAAAGGGGAGAGGGGGAGTGTGGGGAAAAAGGGGAGAGGGGGAGTGTGGGAAAAAAGGGGAGAGGGGGAGTGTGGGGAAAAAGTGGAGAGGGGGAGTGTGGGGAAAAAGTGGAGAGGGGGAGTGTGGGGAAAAAGGGGAGAGGGGGAGTGTGGGGAAAAAGGGGAGAGGGAACACAGTGAGAGGCGGAGAAGCATAGCCTTGAGGTCCTCCTCTCCTCTGCCATGCGCAGCTGCAGGGGCGGAGGGGAGAGGGGGAGAAGGCGGAAGCAAAAGGGGGGAAGGGGACACAGTGAGAGGCGGAGAAGGACAGCCCTCAGGTCCTCCTCTGCCATGCGCAGCTGCAGGGGCGGAGGGGAGGGGCGGCGCGAGAGGGAAAACCGGGGGGGGGGGGGGGAGGGGAGGTGAATGGGAGGGGTGGGAAAGGGTTGGGGGAAGAGTGAGGGATGGCCTTGCACGCGCGCCTGCTTCTCCTTGAGGTCCTACTCCGCCATGCGCAGCTGCACAAGGGGGGAAAGGGACGGGGGAAGGAGGGAGGGGGGAGGGGGGAGGGGAGAGGGGGGAGGGGGGAGGGGAGAGGGGGGAAGGGGGAGGGGGGGGGGGAGAGAGTGAATAGAGACGTGAGTCCTCCTCTGCCATGCGCAGCTGCACAAGGGGGGGTGAGGGGTGGGGAGGCCGGGAGAGCACAGGGGGGAAGCAGTGGGGAAATAAGGGATAGCCCTGAGATCCTCCGCTGTCATGCGCAGCTGCTCAAGAGCGGAGGGTAGAGGGAACGCGGCACTTCCAGCCTCAGATTGAAAATATGAATGAACAGCTTACAGCACATCAGAAACAGCTTACAGCACATCAGACACAGCTTACAGCACAACAGAAACAGCTTACAGCACAACAAAAACAGCTTACAGCACATCAGAAACAGCCTTCCCCCTTGCCAGCATGACAATATGAATGATTGCGCGAGTTTTTGCCGCCTCAAGAAACACACTCTCAGAAACCCCCATCAGCTCGCCTTATCCAGCAGGAACTCGTTTTCCTCTGTGAGAACATCCAGCTGGGGGAACAGACCTTTTTGAATTGCCTCGAACACTGCCCCCCTACCAATTCACCCCCATCAGCTCGCCTTATCCAGCAGGAACTCGTTTTCCTCTGTGAGTACGTCCAGCTGGGTGAACAGACATCTGAGGCCCACTGCCCCCCCACCAATGTATCCCCCACTCTCCGAAACCCCCATCAGCTCACCTTATCCACCAGGAACTCGTTCTCCTCTGTGAGTACATCCAGCTGCGAAGACGAGGCGGGAAGAGGAGCAGAGGGGATGGGACACAGTGACGAGCACATTAAGCTAGCTAGCTGAGTCTAGTTTTGAGGTGCATCAAACACGGGCAGGAAGAGAGCGGCAAGGGGGCAGGGAGCACAGTGACAAGCACATTAAGCTGAGGAAAAGGCAAACGAGAAGAGAAAAACGAGATGGTAGATAAGGGGGGAAAGAGGAGGGAAGGGGAGAGAAGGAGTGGGACATGGAGGACAGTGACGAGCACATTAAGCTGAGGAAACGGCAAAAAGAGAACGGGGGAAACGAGATGGCAGAGAAGCGAGGTAAGAGGCAGAAGGGGCGGAGGCTAAGTTGGAATATACGCGTTTAGCGTTTTGTATGCTTGCTCTATAAACGCTAGAGTATATACGCAAACCGCAGTCCCTGAGGGGTCTGGTACGCACAAGAATCCGCTTGCCTGGGCAGGAAAAAAGTTTTCCCCGGGCAGATTTTTGGGGTAAGAGGTGGGGATGGGGGGGTGTTGTAACCCCCATCCCCTTTGTATTAATATGAAAGTTACAGGAAAAAAAAACCCTTAAAACTAATCTGCCGCTACAACTTCACCCACCTTAATCATGCTACTACCCCCCCATCCCCAACTCTACTCAGGTCCACCCTCCATCCCCCGCCTGCCGCTCATGCATGGAGTCTTCCATCCACTAGTACTCATCTGCCATCACATCATCCTCCCCCTCCTCAGGTTCCTCCACCTCCTCCGGGACGTTATAGCCAGCCGGAGTGGGGGGGTCCTCGATGTTTCCCTTCACCACCCCCAGCCCTTCAGGGGCCTTGTGCCAGTTGTGCACCACCTGCCAATTGTGCGTCACATACACCAGGTCACGAAGCTTAACCGCGCCGAGGCGGTTCCTCCTTGCCGTATGCACTGCATCAAACTTCGCCCAGTTACGCTCACATGGAGACGCGGACACCGGCTGCGTGATGGCGCGGCAAGCCATGGTGGTGAGCTCAGGATGATCGGTCCCGTGCCATGTCCACCAGTCCACCGCCATCATCTTGCCCTCCTTCACTGCCTAGCGGTCGGCAATAGCGTCGGGCATGCCGAAGCTGCGTTGGAGGTTCAGGAAGGCATTGAGGCCTTCCTGGATGACGAGAGAGGCGCGGCGCTCGACCCCGTCCTTCCTGATGACCGTCTTGTCACCATGGTGCTTGGAGACGTACTGCTTGAAGACCCTCGTGCACTCCAGGTCGGTGCGGAAAATGCACTCTTCCTGGTTGGTGGGGTAGAGGATGCGGCCAATCACGTGCAGGTTGCACGCCAGCCCGTTGTCCCAGCGGTCCTGCACGATCTCCCGAATATCCCCCACCTCGTCGCTTGTCAGGACCCCTTCCGCATGCTCGTCGAGGAAGTCGCGGATGTCCTCGGTGAGCTGGAGCATGAGGTCGTAGAGACGACCCATCATGCCCTTCGAATCCGAGTCAGTCTTGCGCATGACGACGAATGGCAGCCTCATCAGCTTAGCGAAGAACTCGGCGCGCGTCCACCACGCGGCATCGAGGATGTTGTCTTTGAATGTGTCTGCCCCAGCCCTGTCTGCAGCCGCAGTCCACTCGACCCACTCATCGCTGAGGACCATCTGCGTCAGGCCGGCGCGCACTTCACAGAGGCGGTTGATGGCGATGTAGTTGGTGCCGAATCGGGTTCCCGCGGGCTTGAGAACCTGTTTCCCCTTGCCGCCGTTCACGAGCGGACTCCGCATGTATCCCCGGGTGAAGTGATGGTTGCGGACGAACGAGATGAGGGTGTCCCCGCGCGTGGTGATGTCCTTCGCCCATCCCTTTTTCCCGATGTCCTCCATCAGGAGATCGAGGACATGGGTCGCGCAAGGGATGTGTTCAATGTGGGGATACTCGCGCATCAACACCCTGCATGCCGCCGCGTAGTTGGAGCCGCCGTCAAAACACAAGGCGACGACATTCTCGGGGCCGACCTTTTCAATGATGGGCCGCAAGGTGCCCGCGATGTAGCCCCCGGTCTTCATCTCCATGTTCGTGTCGATCGACTCCACAAACACCGCACCGCTATCGTTGATGAGGAGCACGTTGGCTTGCGGGCGGCCGGTCTTGTCGGAGAACATGTCGCTTGCCACGGTGACACCGTCACGGTGCCAGCTTGCTGAGATAGGAGCAAGCGCCGCCTCAATGCGCTGGCGACACTTTGCAAGACCGGCGCCACCGATGTAGCGTCTCTTCGGCGCGACGTAATTCGGCCCCGCGCGCTGGATGCTGGAGACCACATTCCGCCACAGTGGGTGGTCCGCGTGATGCTCCGGCACATGAAGAGCGGCAAAGAAGAGGCTTATGGCCTCGTCCGCAGCTTGGTTCGCGCACGCGGCGTCGTCGCCGTAGAAGTCGGTCATCCGACTCTTCTTCTTGTCCGAACCTCTGCCGTTGACTGCGCCGACCGCCGCAATTTCAGCCGCACGCTTCGCTTCACGGGCCTTCAACTTGGACTCGTAAAGCGCCTTCACGGCGTCACGTGCAGTCTTCGGCGCTGCAGTGCAGAGATGCACTTCGCGACGGCGCATGCCGTTCCAGCTGGTGATATGCTGCGCGCGACGGTGAACCCCGCCAACAAACGTGAAGTTGCAGTAGGCACACACCTTGGTGCCGTTCTCGCCAACGCTATTGGCCGGCACCTTGAAGTGACGGTAGACTGCGTGCTTGCTGTCCATGCAGACCAAAGACGTACTAGAAGAGGTCCCACCAGCGGAACTACCAGGAGACTCTGAGGGTGGCGTACGAGAAGTGGTTGCTGTAGGAGTGGAAGCCATGGTGGCTTGGGAAAGGAGATAGCTAGAATAGGAAGCGAGAGAATGAATGTCGAGGGAACAAACGCCTCTCTTTATGCCTGGGAGATTGGGTTGGGTTGAGCTCCCAACCAGTAAAGTAGCACTTGGAGGGGATGGTGGAATGCTGTGGTTCAAAGGGGTGTGAAACGTTTGAGGGGAGGGGTTGATGAGGTTTGGTGCTCGAAATTCAAATTTTGAGTTCATTTCGCGACATCTGCGACTCGGAATTGAGATCGCCACGTCGCGAGCTTCAGATTGAAAATTTGTTTTTTTTTCGGTCTACCCGAAATTCAACTCGGCAAATTTTCAAACTATACGCAACGTACGAATTCGACAAGCGTATAAACGCAAAACGCAAAATGAAAGTAGCGTATATTCCAACTTAGGGCGGAGGGACAAGGAGCATGGCTGTGACATGGCTGTGACATGGCTCATTCATGGCTCATTCATGGCTCATTCATTGCTCATTCATGGCTCATTCATGGCTCATTCATGGCTCATTCATGGCTTTAGGCACTCCCTGCTCTCACATCGTCCTTGAGCTTGCCTCGCTCTTTCACGCTTCTTACATAATCCTTTTACGTAAACGCTGCTCTTACATCGTCCTTGAGCTTGGCTGATTCGCGCTTGATGCTCTCCATCTCCTGCCGGGACGCTACTGTATCCCTGCCAGAGCGACGAGGGCGGTGCAGAGGGGTGAAACGAGGCGCGGAGGACTGTGAAGAGGTGCAGTTGGGTGGGGTGAAGCGTGATGCAGAGTAGCAACGCGGATGCGTTGTCAAAGTGAGGAGGAGCATTCACGCATCTCCTCTCCAGCGCGTGCAGGAAAATCACTATTGAGAATTCTTAAAAGTGGATTTCAATCCAGCGCGTACAGGCGCCGCCTCATTCATGCTGTATCAGCCTATGCCCCCCCATCCCCCCCTCGGTACGGGTGCCCCATAGGTTCCAATCTGTTCCCTGCCACACATTCCCGCATTCCCGCACGCTACACCATCACATCACAGACATTCCCGCATCTCCCCTCCTCCATGCACCATCCCATACGTACGGGCGTCGTCCCATGTCATATCCGCCCATGCCTCCCCCCCCTCGGTACAGGTCCCCCATGTGATCATGTGAGTCGTATCCGCCCCCCGCCATCCCTCACATCATCACACCCACACATTCCCGCGTCTCCCCTCCCCATGCACCAACTCACGCATTTACCACCCCAAACACCACCCCCTAGGTACGGGCGTCGCCCCATGTCATATCCGCCCATGCCGCACCCCCCCTCGGTACGGGTTCCCCATGGGGTCGGGCGCGTTGTATCATATCCGCGCTCTGCCATGCCTCACATCATCACACCCACACATTCCCGCATCTCCCCTCCCCATGCACCATCCCACACATTCGCCTCCCCATGCACCCATGTCACATGCACACGCACGCGCGTCGCCCCATGTCATACACCCATGCCTTCCCCCCATGTCATACACCCATCCATCCATCACACTCATCCCACACGTACGGTCGTCGCCCCATGTCGTATCCGCCCATGCCTCCCCCCCCTCGGTACGGGTCCCCCATGGGGTCGGGCGCGTCATATCCACCCCTCACACTCATTCCCGCTCCCAACTCCCCTCCCCATACCCCATCCCATCCCCTACGCACGGGCGTCGTCCCATGTCGTATCCGCCCATGCCGCCCCCCCCCTCGGTACGGGTCCCCCATGGGGTCGGGCGCGTCATATCCGCCCCCTGCTGGCCGCGTGCGCCCCATAGCGCCCCCAGTGGGGGGCTGGCGCATTCCCCCGCCGGACCTGGGGAGCTGGGAAGGGGGAACGGGGTGCGCGAATCAGGACACGAGTCACAGGACGCATCTCAAGACAGCACAAACCTTACAGTATGATTAAGCGGATATCCGAATTCATAACAAGTAACTGCTGCAACCATGTAAAACAAATAGAAATGCTTCACTTTGCACATATTAACCTCCCCGTTTCAGATCCGCACTCTCAGCCGTTTTGAGACCACCCATCCCTGACGAATCAGCAACAATCGCGTTGATTGAATTAAAAACGTTAACTGAGCCTATCGCGTTGACATCCCGTTGACTCCCAGCGTTGACTCCTCGCGTTGACTCCTTGCGTTGACTCCTAGCCTAACGTCATTGACATCAGTCTGCCGGCCTTGTCCTCAGTCTGCCGTCTAGTCTTAGCCACCGCTGATGTCAGCTTATCATCGTCGACCTAAAGTTAACCGACGATGACCTGACCTGATTGTCGTCTATGCTGACATCATCTGACAATCCTTGACCTAAGCTAATCGCCTTGTTGACCTTATCCTCGAAACGCTGAAAGAAATTTCTCGTCGTGTTGACCTCAGCCTGCCGTCATCGTTGACCTAGTCTTCCTCATCGCTGAAGTTAACCTACCGTCCTTGTTCTGAACTCATTGCTTCGTCGCCTCGTCGTCTCACTCATCGTCTCATCGTCCCAATGTCCCATCGTCTCATTGTCGCAATGTCCTGAGATTCACCAGCAGCGCACGCCCATCGTCAATATCAAGGCATGCGCTTCACGTCCTACCATGCTAAACATAGCTTCACGCCGATGGCCAAGACCTATCTAATCGTTCAGTCGACCGGATGGCTCCGGAACAATTGAAGCCAAGTGGCATGCGGCCGCATAAAACGTTTCGCCGCGTTTGCCCATTTCCGGCACTGCGCTAATAACGAGGCAGTCGCTCCGGGTTAGCTCTTGGGGACCTGTTCCATGCATTCTACGACAGGCATTTTCTTGTCGACTCAAAAATCGTTTCATCACACGCAGTCGCTCCGGCTTAGCTCTTTGGGACCTGTTCCATGCATTCTATGACAGGCATTTTCTTGTCGACTCAAAAATCGTTTCATCACACGCAGTCGCTCCGGCTTAGCTCTTGGGGACCTGTTCCATGCATTCTACGACAGGAACACTGCGACCGGCACGCCGTAATTATCGGGGAATACTAAGATCAGCACATTAATAGGACCGGCACATAACGACCGGCACACTAAGGCCGGCACACTACGACCGGCACAATACGGCCGGCACACTACGACCCGCGCGCACACGCAGACAGCGCGCGCACCTGGCTGCTGTAGTCGTCTTGGGATTCGTCTGACGTGTTCGACATGAGCGCGCGGAGCCTCTGCTGCGCCTGCAGCGCCGCATTGCTGCGCGACGACGGTCCGCCGGGCCCCTTGCCCGCGCCCGCGGGGGTTCCTGCTGCCCCTCCGTACCGGCCTGACCGCGCACCATACCCTCCAGGGCGCGACGGATTCATGGCCGCGCGCAGAGAATACGAGAAAATAAAGTTACCCTAAAAGACAAAGGGGAAATGATAACTTCGCCCGTGCCACTGACGTTTCAAATATCGACACCCTTAGAAGACCGAACCTGGTCAAGGACACTCTTTGCACTTGAATCTAAGAGGCCCTCGCTAGCACTTGTAACCAGTACTATGCTCGGCGTCCTAGGAACAGTAGTAAATACCTAGGTGATTTGCAGAAGAGGAAAAGGCATGCATTCAGCAGCCTTGAGATTGGTTTGATTAGAAGGGGGGGGGAGAAGTTGGCTGCTTGAGCCAGGTGATTGTCGCGAAAACAGGCTATAACGGTAACCCGACATCGTAATAATCAGTTCCATTGTTAGGGCGTGTCACATAAGTTTTGGTCCGCGCTTGCGGGCCCAGACCAGCTTGACCGGACGGCGAGCCATCCTCGGACCCACACTCCCCACTTGGACCCCAGTTGCATCATATTGCTTGGTTTTGATAATAAATCAACTAAGATGTGAAGTGCTTTATACAATGCTGTAAGGAAAATTCATTTTCCTTACTTCGCGTCCCCGCTCAGCGCGTACACCACTGTAGCACCACAGTCAGCACCGTTACCACTCGCAACCCTCGCATCGACAATCCTCCCGCCACCTTCGCACGTCGCACCCCGACCTTACGGCTCAGCGGGTAACCCGCGCTCCGGGCCTCCGTTTCGACATTTCCCCAAACCTCAGTCCCAGGCCCGTCGCGTGACAACCACAGTCCATTACCGTTACTACTGTTTTCATTATATATTCTTCGATCATTGTACTCTTGCTTCGATAGTGCAATTCTCGCTCGATCACTCAATTGCACTCGTAACACTTGGTATCAGAGCCTACGATCTCTTCTCGGACCGCACCCACACCTTCACTTCCTCACTATCTCAATTTTTGGGGGGGGTAGACGTCTCTCAGCGACACAGCACCGCCGCTCGTAGTGCTCTCTCGTAAGCACGCATGGCCACGACAGAGGCTCTCGCTGAGCTTGCCTAACACCCCCGCCATGGCCGATTTCACGCTCGCGACATTGACGCAGGAGCAACTCGACCGTCTGGTACGCCAAGTTGAAGATTCGGCGCTCAAAATTGTCAGAGGTCCACTGGTGATCCCCGATTGATTCTAGGGAAGGGTTACAGGCATGTTGGCCTGGGGGGTTATGGACGCACTAACCCGCTACTTAACAAGCCCTTTTATCCCAATGGTATAGTGGTTGGGATTCTGACAAGGTATCAGAGCGAAGGTCTCGGGTTCGAATCTCAGTGTGTGCACTTTGGGCATCCCAGTGCGGGGGAGTGTCAGAGGTCCACTGGTGATCCCCGATTGATCCTAGGGAAGGGATACAAGCATGTTGGTGTGGGGGGTTATGGGCGCACTGACCCGCTACTTAACAAGCCATTTTATCCCAATGGTCTAGTGGTTGGGATTCTGACAGAAATTGCGACGCTCACGGCGGAACGTGACTCCGCGCGTCAGCAATCCACTGTAAATACTTCGGCGCCACCACACGCACCTGCAAATGCACCTGCACAATCGGAGGAGCCAATCGTCATTTCATCAGGCACACCGACACAAAACGACACCGTGGAACAGCGCTCAGGCGCAGCCAGTGATGGAGCCGCCCAACCGATGCCGGGCATGGGGAGAAACAGGGTCGCGCCAAGCCCGCGGGAGCCTCGTGAAGCCCGTCGGCACGTGGAGTTTGCGGCAACAAGTGGCGACCAGGCCATCATGGCATCAATGCCACTCAAGCCGCAGCGACCGCCCTGTTTCGACCCAAGCCAGCGTAGAGGTCCGACGGTTCAATCGTGGGTCTTCACGATGAACGCCTTTTTCGACGCAAACTACGTCGAGTCGGACGCAGCGAAGATCCGATATGCCGTCTCGCTGCTGAGGGGCCCCGCCATGGACTGGTGGCGAGTCATCGTAACGTCGCCATGTGCCTACGAGCCACCGTCGCAAGTGGAAGGGCCCACGGGTCCAGTCGTCACCTGGAGTTCATTTTGCGAAACCGCCCAGTACAGCACGTGGGATGCGTGGTGCGCAGGGCTTCAGGCGCGCTTCGAGCCGATTGCGGCTTCTATTTCGGCGCGTCAGAGACTGCGTACTTGGCGGCAGGTCGGGTCGGTTCAAGACTACACGAGTGGTTTTCTCGCATCATGCGAGCAAGTCGGCTACATGCACGAGGCGGAGCGGGTGGACCGTTACGTCGGAGGGCTGAAGCCAGACATCTCGCACGATATCATGTTACGCGGGCTCTCGAACTTCAACGAGATTCTTGCGCTCGCTGAGAAAATCGACATTTTGCGCCGTCCGAGACCAGGGTCCTACTATGGACATCGCCATCAGGGATCGATCGAGCACACCAGCGTACATGCCATTGCAACGAATGCAGCTGCCGCGCCATTTAAGGGGCGCTGCTTTGCTTGCAATAGGCCGGGCCATCGCAAGAGTGAATGCCCAGAGGAGCTGAGGCGCCGCGGAGCAGAGCAGGGGAGGGAGTCTCCAAGGCAGGGAAACGCCAGCAGTCAGTAGGAATCGGGCCAACTACTGACGAGACTGCCTGCTCGCCAAACCCCACCGACCCTCACCGAGTCACAGTACCGATTCATGCTATCGATCGGGCTTAGACGAATAAGGAGGGTACAACGACGGATTGCCCAGTACTGATCCACGGGAAAATACAGGGAGCAACAGTGAAGATATTTATCGACGAAGGAGCAAGTCACAGTTTACTTAATACCGCAACCGCACGAAAACTGCAGCTGACACTTAGCCGTTGTTTACCTGAGATAGATGGACGCTTAGTTGACGGCACGCCACTGGCCATACGGAAAACGGTGGAGAGAGTCAAAGTCCGCTGCGAGGGAAATTTCGGATTTATATAGTAAATGCTCGCGACGACACTAGATGGGCACGACATTTTGCTGGGACGTGATTGGCTGCGACGGTATAACTCGCGAATTGACTGGATGACGGGTAGCTGCACTGTCCGAAGTAGCGGCAACTGGGTTGAGCTACCTCGCTGGCAGTCGCCCGAGTCTTCGACGGTACACGTCAACGCCGTCACCATGAAACGGGTTGTCGCTGCTGGAGCTGCCGTGCACGCAGTAGACATTGCAGTTGTAGAGGGAGCAGAGCAGCTGAGTGATTCCAAGAAACTGCTGGCAGCGGTACTGCCCGAACTGCATGAACTGTTGAAACGATACCCCGGGATTTTTCCCGACGACTTATCAGAAGAACTACCACCTCAGCGAGCACATGACCACCAAATAGAATTAGAACCGGGGGCACAGCCAACTGTACAGCGCCAGTTCAGACTGACACAACCCGAGCTCGACGAACTGAGGAAGCAGTTAGATTACTTGTTAGAGAAGAAATTCATCCGACCGAGCTCATCACCGTTCGCCGCACCGATACTGTTCACGCCAAAGAAAGACGGAGGGTTTCGCATGTGCATCGATTACCGAGCGCTCAACGGGGTTATAGTCAAGTCGCGGTACCCCATTCCCCGCGCCGACGAACTGATCGACTAACTGCGAACAGCACGAGTGTTTTCGAAAATAGATTTAAGGGGAGATTACCATCAGATTAGTGTCGAACCATCGGGCTGCGCCAAAACAACTTTCCGGACTAGGTACGGGTCGTTTGAGTACACCGTGATGCCCTTCGGGCTGACCAACGCACCAACGACATTTCAGATGACCATGAACGAGGCGTTTAGGCCACTTTTAGATAAATGCGTGATAGTTTACCTCGACGACATCCTCGTCTACAGTCGCGATAAGCACCAGCACTTCGAAGATCTGGAAGTGGTCTTTAAATTTTTTTACGAGCATTCGCTACTGACAAAGGGTTCCTAGTGCGAGTTTTTTCAAGACAGGCTAGAGTTTTTGGGGCGAGTTATTTCAGAGGTTGGGGTCGAAATTGACCCAAAGAAGTTAGACACGGTGAAAGCCTGGCACCCCCCGACGAATATCACGGAACTACAGAGCTTTTTGGGGTTCGTCAATTACGTGCGTCGGTTCGTCCCCGACATGGCACGGTTAACAGCGCCGCTGACGAATTTGTTACAGAAGGGGGTCGCTTTTACGTGGGGGGAGAAAGAGCATGCTGCCTTCTCTACCCTAAAAAATGTTCTCTGTTCACCGCCCGTCCTGCGCATCGCCGACCCACACTGCCCATTCGAAGTAGTTACCGACGCAAGCGACATCGCCATCGGAGCCGTACTGCTACAGGACTTCGGCTACGGCCTACAACCCATCGCATACAAGTCACGAAAGCTGTCAGAACATATAGCTTACTTATTTGTGTAGGCTATAGTGGGGTATCCCATAGGGGGTACAACACAATTAGGGTTTCCTATTTGTACTCACTTCGTTCATAGTCATTCCATTCTCGTTCACTTCTTCTCATGGTATCGAGCAGGTTCCCCCGTGGGAACTGTTCTTAGGGCCCACCTCCGCTACCTCGTAACTTTTTTTTCTGCCCGGAGCGCGCTCCGGGCCCTCTTACTTCCTTTTTTTTCGATCTGCCCTAACGGCCCCTAGACGCCCGCGCGCCGCCCGCCCTAACGCCCGCGCGCTGCCCGCCCTAGAGCCTGAGCGCGGCCCACCCTAGAGCCTGACGGCCGCCCGCCCTAGAGCCTGAGCGCCGCCCGCCCTAGCGCCCGCGCGCTGCCCGCCCTAGAGCTCGAGCGCGGCCCGCCCTAGAGCCTGACGGCCGCCCACCCTAGGGCCTGAGCGCCGCCCGTCGTCGCCCTAGCGCCCTAGCGCCCGACGCCCGCGAGCCGCCCGTCGCACCGCCCGTGCGCCGCCCGTGCGTCGCCCTTAGCAGCTCAACGCGCCGCCCGTGCAGCCGCCTGTGAGCTGCCTGTGCGCCGCCCGACGAACCGCCCGTGCAGCCGCCCGTGCAGCCGCCCGTGCAGCCGCCCGTGAACCGCCCGTGCAGCCGCCCGCAGCCGCCCGT